CTTTTCCACACCTTCCACGTGTTCTGAGAGACTTCTGAGAATGGTGCTGTATTCAGAATTGCCCTGTCCATCTTTTGTTGAATCCAAGATGATGAATCCCAGATGATGAATCCTTAGATCTGGGTTGGAGTGATAGTAAGCAGGTAGGGTGTTTGCCTTGCATGCGGCCAACCCGGGTTTGATTCCTCCTGCCCCTCTAGGAGAGCCTGGCAGGCTACCGAGAATATCTCGCCGCGTGGCAGAGCCTGGCAAACTCCCCATGACGTATTCGATATGCCAAAAACAGTAACAACAAGTCTCACAATGGAGACGGTACTGGTGCCCGCTCGAGCAAATCGGTGAACAATGGGAGGACAATGGTACAGTGCAGTGCTACCTTAGATCTAGCTTCCTATATTTTTATATGCTGGTGTGGTGGACTGCCTTAGTAACCAGTGTGCTAGGTTTTCCTGTGTTTCCTGGAAGCATCAGTAAATTACCCATTCCAATGTGTAGACCAGGCACCTCTCTGTGGCAGTGTTTGGGAACTACACTTCTACTGGTGGCTTGGTGTCAGGAGAAAGTGGGTTTTCACTTCTGCCAACTGAATGCAGAAGTTGAATCCGCTGATTGTCTTTCCTCTCCTCCCCCTCTTCCTCTTCAGGCTTCTAAGAATGGGTAGATGCTGAGTTGGCAATTAGGTCAAGCAGAGCTCCTGTTGTGCAATCTCATGGCATATAATCAGAAAAAACATTCCTGCTATCGCATTATTTTCTTGCATTATTAAGTGCTTCCATCATCTTAACCCAAACCAGATTTTATAAGGAGAAATAGATCTTCCTCTTTGTGTTGGAGAGCTTCCCCAGTCTTAAATTTTCTCCACACTCCTAACAAACATATAGAAGGTCCTTGGACCCTTCTTACATCTACCTGGCAGTCACCCTGCCTTAGCCAGGCTCCTCCAAGCATACAAGTAAAGAAAGAAGCTTACTCTTTCTTCCTCATTTCCCCCTTCAGTATGCTCTTCTGATACTTGATCCTTGCTCCTTTCCTGAACCTTAACTCGGTGGCACAGAGCTATACTGTGCTTTCGTTTTTCCTGATTTCTGCCTCAGAATATCTTTTCTGGGTGTGGTAGAAAGCTTTTTCCAACATCAGGAGAGAGAGACTTGTTTTCTTTTCTGCAAACTCCTAAAGCTCTACATTTGCACACGAATGTACAAAAAGTTCCTAAGCATGATGCAATATTTTAACCACTTACATGTTGTTGCCTTCTCAACAACTGGCATTTTAATACTCTTTCTTTATAAAGAGCATTTTATACTTTTTCTTTCCTTTGACCAGTATTAACAGTCCCACCCCCACACCCCTAATCATTGCACAACTGGATGTTGTGTAAAAAGGAGTGGGCTGTGAAAGTAAGGATCTTGTCCTTGTGATACTTCAGAAACCATTGCTCAATGAATGAAACCAAGAGAGCAAGAGCAATTAGCTGATGGATTTCAAGTAGTAGGAAATAAGGTTTTGCTGAACAACACAGTTCAAACTGGAGCACTTTGCATACCGTGTAAACAAAGTGCTGAAGCACCAGGGAACCATTTAATATAATTGATCTTATTGCGACCAAGGGAACAATCAAGGGTAGAACGTAGGGATTCTTTGTGTAACCCGCAGCTAACTGCATCTCACGTATATGCCATATGCATTCAAAGGAGCACATGAATCTTAAAATGTACACATCAGTTATTTTTATTTTTACTAGTGGTGCTGGGATGGGAGGATTTCCAGTGAGGCTCTACCTTGAGGTGCTGAAGCCTGGGGGTGTAGTGCCACTAGTCCACCCTGGTACTTGGGGGCACGCAATATTAGATATTAAACTCAAGTCTTTCTCATGTTCTTCTGTTTCTGTAGTTCCAGCTTAGCAAATTTTACTTGTTTGGGCGCCATACATGGTGGTGCTCAGGTGTTAAAAATGCTCTACATTAAGGAATCACTCTTGACAGGCTTGGAGGAGCATATGGGATGCTGGGGATGGAACCTGGGTCGGCCTCATGCAGGATAAGCCCTACCTACTGTATTGTCACTCCAGCCCCAGCTTGGTGAATTTTCACAGATGTAAAATTTTTATCTGCATAATTATAATTAGACTTAGAAGATATTTTTAGAACTCAAATGGGAAGTTTTTAATCTTAATTCACAATTTATGGATACCAGATCTCATGGTGTAACTGAGTTTGGGATTACTAGGCTGGCAAGACATTATACTTGATAAAAACACTACTTCAGACCAGAGTAATAGTATAGTGGATAGTATAGTTGCGCTTGCCTTGAAGTGGCCAACTCAGATTCAATCCCTGGCACTCCATATGGTGCCCTGAGCCTCACCAGGAGTGATTATTGAGCACAGAGCCAGGAGTAAGTACTGAGCACCACGGAGTGTGATCCCAAACCAAAAGTAAAGCATCAGTTTTCCTATTGTTGGTCTGCTGCCTCAGACATCTGATACTAATGTTTAAGTTACAAAAATGTTATGTGTTTGTGTGCTGATTGTGCTTATAACCTAAATAGAATGAATGCTGTTTCTCTGCATATTCTGACCTATACTTACTAGTTTTAGGAGAGGAATTCTTTGATCTGTAGGCCTTCAAAACTGATATTCTTTAGGATGGATCCATATTAAGATACTTTGAATGTGGGTACTTCTTTCCTTCCAGCAAAGATGATGATCTCTACCAGCAAATTGTAAAAATGCGCCAAAATTAAGAAGAAATGTGGACTTAAGTGTGTAGAGATTCCAGTAATTAATTTCTCATACAAATTAGTGAACAGAATAAATGCTTATACCAGTGTTTGTTAAGTGGCAAAAATTCTTAGGACATTTAGATTATGTTTCAAGAGTACAGAAAACAAGATGTTAAACAGCCACTAAAAGGAAAAACAATTATTTTAATGGGCTTTATAGTTGTTTAAATCAACAATTTTTTTTTTTTGGCTTTTTGGTCCCCACCTGGTGATGCTCAGGGGTTACTTGTGGCTCTGTATTCAGGAATTACTCCTGGGGGTGCTCAAGGGACCACATGGAATGCTGGAAATCGAACCCTGGTTGGCCACATGCAAGGCAAATGCCCTACCTGCTGTGCTATTGCTCCAGTCCCATAAACCAACAATCTTTTATATAGCCTTTTAAATCTTAATTTATTCTCACAAGGCAAAACTCCATCTAACGGAAATAATTCTAGTTATTTTGCAGGACATGGACATTTGGAAAAAGTTTTTATTATTTGTCTACTTAGTTTCAAAATGGGAGGAAAAGTGCAGGAGTAATTTAGGCATAAAGTGAGAGTCATCAATGAAATTCACGTTGTACAAGATGAAAGTACAGCAAGCAGTATCAGATTGCAGTGGAGAAATGTGTTTCAGGAAACGAATCTATAAACAGTGTGCTTTATCCACTTGCTTGGTCAAAGACTCAGTTTTAACCTAATGTTTAGAATAAGTGGGCAACAAAGATTATTATTGCCAGTTGTATATACTTTTTGAGGAGGTGTGTGAATGCTAAAAAGTGAGTCCAGGATTGTTTTTGATATCTGTTTATTTTTAAATGGAGATGGAGTGGTGATGGGAGATGACTTCCCACTAAAAGCAGCTCCTGTTGGTAAATGTTTCTTTTACAGACTTTGTTTAATAAATCGTGCATTTAAGTGAAAGCATCAAAAGGGAAAGAAGGTGATAAATACTGGATTCTGTGATTAAAGCAGTCCTAAAGTTTAAATAACATGTGGAAAGTAGGAAAGTGTTGTTCAGAAATAAATGAGTGAAGTCGCAGTCTCAGGCTGATAAGTATTTTGCTTGCCCCCAGCCCCCAGGGGATGCTTCTTTAATGTCCTGTTCAAAGTGCAAGTTTCTGAGAAGCTTTTGGGTGTTTTTCCGGGGTCACTGTGCCCAGGGTTATTGCTTATGAATGCTGGGAGCCTGCAGGTCCAGCTGCTCCGGGCCCTTGCCTGAAGAATGCTGAACACCTGTAGTGCTGATTCCTGGCATTAAGGTGTCTGTCTTCCTTCTTTCTAGTCATTCCTTCAGAGTTTGTAATGAGCCAATGGGAAAATAGGCTTTGAGGAAGTCACTCAAGTGGGCAGAGCTGAGGAGCTGCTCAGAACAAAAGAAGGATGATGTCAGTGTCCTACTTAGTGTCCTTTGTTAGTAGGGGGAAGTAAATTCCCTCAGATCCTGGTGGTGGTTATTGTTTTTTTTTAAAAACCTTAAAAAAAGTAATACATTTTTACTGGATTTTTAGTGGTCTTCTAAGATTTGACCTAAGGTTCATTCCTTTTACTCTGCTACCTTATCTGTCCTTTCTTTTGATGTGGTTTCAGAAGGCACCGCTTGGGGAGGCTTTTAGAACAGAATGAAATAGAATTTCAGATTAAAAATATGAAAAAGCAAGGGAAATGGCTCGATGGTAGAGGACCTCTTGTCCCTAGTGCTGTGAACAAGAAAACCCCAAACCCCTCCCAAGTGAAAGCTAGTTTGAGATCTCTGCAAATGAAGAAAAGTTTTGATATCACGTTTTTTTAAGTGTGGGAAAAGAAGTCGGCCTTGTTGGGGGTGGGAGGTGGAGATAATGAAGAATTGAAGGTTCTAGATGTTCTTTTGTTGTCTCAAATTGTTTTTGCTTCTGTTATCATCCAGTGGCAAATAGGTCTGAATAATTACTAATTATAATAATTACTGATTTTAGTTTTTCAGGGACTTCAGATCTATATTCTAAGACCTATATAATTAGGAAAACCCTTGCTATCTTTCATAATGTCTGGCATATTTTAATTTAGAAATCTAGAGATATTTAGTGCTTTTTTCCCCTTAACTCAGAACATGCTCTGAGTGGACTATTGAGAGGAATTAGCATAGGAAAAAACTTAGTTCAATGAAAATATGTTATTTCAAATTAGTAGTGTTAAAGTTATATTTGTACCTGAATAAGGAAATAAACATAAAGTTTAAAATGAAATTTTTTTTTACAGTCCTATTTTGTGACAGATTATGATCCAACCATTGAAGATTCTTACACAAAGCAGTGTGTCATAGATGATAGAGCTGCCCGTCTAGATAGTAAGTCATTTTTCCTTATTTGATAATTTGCATGTTTTTAAAAAGCAAACATTTTTTTGGTAAAATGCTACAGTTGAATTATTTGATATCTAACAACATCTAACAGGATAATCTTGATTCCAAGCCCATCTTTCATTGATTTTATTGGAGAAAGCCGCATATCGGGCAGTTTTGGTAATGTAGAAACAGTCACTGGGTTGCTCTTATTCTTGTGAAACTCGTCTTGTTATAACTTGTGGAAGTTATATTTATTTGGAAAAAACATGTCACGCCGCAATTCTTTTTGGCGAAGGCTAAAACAGATGAAGTAAATATAGAAAAGTTTCAATATTTGCCAATTTGCTTAGAATTTATAGCAGAGAACCTTTAGCAAAGAGTGTTTTTGCTTGGCTAAATACTCCACCTCTGCAAGATAAAACCCTGTTTTTTTTTTAAACTTGTATAGTTCTTTTGTTCACAGTGATCAAGAAATACTTTAACTTCCCTGCATCCCTCAATATAATATTTGAGGGTAAACCAGATTTTCCTTGTTGAGTTTGTAGATTTCTTTTTTGAGTTCTTCCTAAGGAGGAAATAATGCATCCAAGTGGTGTCTAACCCCACCTGCCTAAATGTTTGATATTTTTAACCTTGTAATTACTATGCTAATAAGTTCTAACTACAAATCCATCTGTACCAATGATGATAGCTCTGAAACTGCTCTGCCACCAGAATATCTTAGTGTTTGTTATAGTGAAAAGTGCTGAGAGAAAACTATCTTTTCTTTGTTATGCTCAGTATGATGCTCTCAAAAGGAATCACATTAATTGAGCCTACCCCTGAGGGACGCCTTTAATAAAATAGAAACAGTTAAATCTGTTGTTTTTTCTTTAGTCCTAGATACTGCAGGACAAGAAGAGTTTGGAGCTATGAGAGAACAGTACATGAGAACTGGCGAGGGGTTCTTGTTGGTCTTTTCAGTCACAGATAGAGGCAGGTTTGTACCATTGTTAAATGTGAGTTCCTGTGTTGATCGTTATTTTATTTGATGTGACTTTTCTTTTTCTGTTTTTAAATAGCAAAGTTAATAAAGTTCCAAGTGGGACGTTGAACTTACTCACCAAGTAGATTAAATTTGTTTTTGTGTTTTCAGTTTTGAAGAAATTTATAAATTTCAAAGACAGATTCTCAGAGTAAAGGATCGTGATGAGTTTCCAATGATTTTAATTGGTAATAAAGCTGATCTGGATCATCAGAGACAGGTGAGAAGAAACGTTGCTGCTTGGAAATCAGTTGGTTATAAGCATGTAATTGAATGAAATTGTTTAATACAATATATGATAAGTATATTTTATAATAAATAAGTAATAAAATACAAGTACAATTATGTCATAATGAAAAGAACCTATGTTTGGCATTCTGGATTTTGCAGAAATCACAATAGATAAGAAATAAGGAAGTATATTTGGAAAATTAATGCACCTAGTTTTATTTGGAATTTTATTTGCTTCCTACCCCCTATATATGGAATTTTAGCAGAACTTGAGCTCTGTACGCTTACAGAAAAATGTACCAATTTCGTTTATCTTCACATGATGTGCTTTCTTAGGTAACACCAGAAACACTAGAAACTCTAGTTTACAAAGATACTTTTCTTTTATCTCTCCTCCCTCTCACTCCACCTTCCCTTTCCCTCTCCCCCCTCCCCCCTTTTTGGGCATTGTGATTTGCAATACTCTTAAGTTTATGGCAATACCATAAGGTACCAAAAGGTTATCAGCTATTATCATAGTGGTCCCTTCTCTGTCTTTTTTTTTTTTTTTAAGCTTTTTGGATCACACCCGGCGATGCTCAGAGGTTACTCTTCGCTCTGCACTCAGGTATCTCTCCTGGCAGTGCTCAGGGGATGCTGGGAATTGAACCCAGGTCGGCCGCATGCAAGGCAAATGCCCTACCCACTGTGCTATAGCTCCAGCCCCACTTTGCCGTCTTAACTGCCCTCCTCCCTCCAACAACCGCCTTGAACAAGCTTCCAACTGTGGGCCAGTCCTCCTGGCCCTCATCCAAACTTATTTGGCGTTGATACTAAAAAGTCTTCTTTTAGGAAGGCTTTGTTTAAGTTATAGTGTTTGGATTTCTCCTAGTTCTCCGTAAATGACTGAGTTTTCTATGAGTTAATTTGTATTGACTAGTTCTAACACCCAGTGAGCTATGAGAAAAATACTATTTTTAGTACTTAGTTGTAGGCGAGTGTTCACTCACTTATTTCTTTTGCCATTTATTTTACATTTAATGTAAAAATTTTGCTAAGTATCTCATCTACATATTTTTTCTCTGCCTAAACCATACACACACACACACACACACACACACACACACACACACACACACAGATATAAAGTGTATACATGTTGGAAAGCGCAGGTGTGTATCTTTGTCTTGGAGAAAAGCAAGTGGCTGAAATAATGACAGTTTTGTTGGCGTATTCCTGTGCATTCTGTTGTCTGAAAGATAGGTACAAAGCAAAATATTAGTCTTATTATCCTACATCTTCTCTTTATAAGTTGCTTCATATCAGTATTCAGAAATGTTGCAATCTCAGATTGTGGTCACTAGACTCCTATGATCCTTATAGTGCTCACTGGAAATCGTGCTGCTCTGCACTATTCCCACTTGTTTTTACAGTTTGCTTTCTCATTCTTATGGTACTTTCTTTTCCTCATTCTCAGCTGATAATGAGTGATGTTTTCCTTCTCCACTGAGAAAGTTCTACCTGTTCTTGTGCACATATGCCTCACCCTCTTCACATTCTTCCACCTCCCTGGAGAAGCTGCAGGGAGCGCTGGATCCTGTTTTTTTTTTTTCTCATCAGTCAAGGTCATCACAGTAGTTTTCCTGTATGAGTTCCCTTTCTTTCATGCAGGAGTGCATTCCCAACAAAATAGAATATGCTGCAGTGTCTGATCTTTAAAACAAAAAATAACTGCAACAGCTTTTTTCGTCCCACAATGCTCTTTGAGTTCCTTTTAGGGTCCTTTTCAATAGCAAAATTACTTTTTTGTTTTCTTTTTGGGCCACACTCAGTGGTGCTCGGGCTTACTCCAGGCTCAGAGATCACTTCTGGTCGGTTCAGGGGACTGTATGGGCTATCAGGGAACAAACTCAGGTTGACCGCATGCAAGACCAACACCTTACCCACTGTACTATTTCTCCAGCCTGCAAAATTGCATCTTTGAAGCATTATTCACACACAGTCCCTTTGCTTTCTGCCCTTTCTTGCTTGCATTGACTTCAGGCCTTCAACACCCTCTTAAGGTCACCACTTGTGCAGATGCCAGTAACATTTGACACAGTTGCTCACATACTACTTTTTTGAAACACTTAGTTTGCTTAGCTTCTGGACACTTCCTGAAGCTTTTTCAGTGTCATTTTTGACTCAGAGTTTCTCTTCAGAATTAAATCTGTTTTTTTCTATAATATTTTGGCACTTTTGTCTTACTAATTGAATCTGGATAGGGTATAGTGATCCCACAGCAACTTCTTGACCCTGTTTAGAGATTTGCTTTTGATTATATCTTTAGGTTCTTAGTAACTGACCTGGCTTGTTGTTAGTTAATTACCCAGCTGTTTTTTTTTCTACCTTTGTCTTGAGCATCATTCTTTGGACTTTCTCTAGATTCTCTGTTGTTTTCAAATAACAATTCACCATGTTACTTGAAGTTGTAAGTCAGTTCATACATCTATCCAATCCTTATTGAAAACTTTTTCTGGGCACTGATGATGAGTGTAATAGAAAATATAGTCCTGGGGCCAGAGAGATTATTTATCAGGACAAAGCTCGTGCTTTGCATGCAAGAGGACCAGGTTCTATGATCAGAAACACTTGGTTCCCCAAGCACTGAGTGTGAAGTGGTCCACTGAGCACTGCTGGGTATAGCAAAACAGTACCCAGAGAACGTAAAACTGAAGAAAAAAAGAGGGGCCAGAGTGATAGCATAGCAGGTCGGGCGTTTGCCTTGCTCACGGCTGACCTGGGTTTGATCCCCAGTGTCCCATATGGTCCCCCAGGCACCACCAGGAATAATTCCTGAGTGCAGAGCCAGGAATAACACCTGAGCATCGCTGGGTGTGACCCAAAAAGAAAAAAGAAAACCTGAAGAAAAAAAATAAAGTCACTGAAGTTTATATGAAATTAAAAGAAAATACATAGAGTATGAATTATGGTTTAGTGTTATCACAAAATTGACTTACTGGGAGCTACAGCATTCCTTTTGTTTATCATATCAAAGTTGAAGAAAATGCAGTTAAATAATTTGCTTGCCCTTGTTACAATATACAAATAGGTAAATAGGACAACACATTGATTCTGAAATTTAATATAGCAATGTATGAGCTTAGACTGTGGACTTCATAATCTATCAGATTGCAACTTCCTTGTCCTTGAGTCAGCCTTTTCTAGAATTAACAGAAATTCTTTTTGCTTTCTTTGGTCTCCCCAGTCTCTTCCTCTCTGTCTTATTTTGGCTACCGCATTTTCTTTTCTTCCTATTTTGGTGCTTAGTTACCAGTGGCCACTGTTAATTTAAGAAAGGAACTCATGATACTGAGAGTAATAGTAAATATACTAATTCCCACTCTTGTCTTCAACATAACCTCCTCTTACACTCTCCTAAAAGAAACTCCTTTGTGTAAGGGTCTTGTCTTACCTTTTATGCCTAAATGATTTAAACCAGTGAAGGCAAGTATCCTAAAGACTTTTCAGTTTTTACTATTGGGGTTTGTTATGCTTTACCCTTTTCACATAGAACAAAAAGTACATTCAGTGTTTACTAAATGAATAAATCAGGCACCATTGAATCAAGATATAGTATTAATGTGATAATTCTTTCTTTAAAAAAATTTCCCCCCTTACCTCAGGAGGGAAAGGGTGCTGTCCCTCCGCCTGCTCCTCCTAGGCGGCTCGGTGGCTGCCATCCTCCAGAGGCCATTGGACAATAAGGTTTGGGCCCACAGTGACGAGACATGCAGGGCCTCATGGGATGGGTGTAGAGCCGGCCCTTCCCCCCTCCCCCCCCCCCGACCCCAACGAGACCCCAAGTCACCACCAATGAACTAGGCCTCTCTCTCTGGCTTCTAATCAAGCTGTTTAATGGCCATGATCCCAGAGACTCAGAAACAAATCTTGAAACGCAGTGGCTTTTGGCAGAAATGCTCCCAGTCCCTGCAGTAGGTTACTGGCGCTGGGCCACCCCATGTGGGAATAGGTTTCATGCCTTGACCTACAGGTTTGGGCCCACAGTGACGAGACATGCGGGGCCTCACAGGATGGGGGTGGAGCCAGCCCTTTCCTCCCCATCCCAAAGAGTCCCCAAGTTGCTGCCCACAAATGGCCTTTCTGGCTCCTGATCAAGCTGCTTAACAGCCGTGATCCAAGAGACTCAGGAACAAATCTCGGAACCCAGCAGGTTTTGGCAGAAATCCCTCCAGATTTAATTATTAAAATTTTCGGAATTTCAAAATTGCGTGGCCACTACTGCAGCCACGCGACATCATATGTTATTAATAACCAGCAATAGAAAACAAATTGTCTACTGTTGCATTTTCAGCAGATCTGAATGTTGGAGTAAAATCCCAAATAATAGTGGTGGGTCTGGTGTCAAAATATTGAATGTAATCAAAGTAGACAGAGAGTAATGTGGAAATCATCTGCCCTACAGGTAGGGGGAGGGTTTGGGATAGGGGTATATTGGGGGTTTTGGGGGTGTAGAATGGGCACTGGTGAAGGTACGGGTGTTTCATTGTATGACCAAGACTTAAACCCGAAAGTTTTATAACTACTCTCACCGTGATTCAATAAATAAAATTATAAAAAATGAAAAAAATAAGTAAGGAGGAGTTTATACCCAATTCAATCAACTAATTAGTGACTGAATAAATAGCAGTCACTAAAATAAATAGCAGTACTCTTACATAAAAAAAAAATTCCCCCCTTTTTTGGTTCACACCCACTGGTGCTCAGGGCTTACCCCTGGCTCTGCACTCAGGGATCATTTGTGGTAGTGCTGGGGGGTCTAAAATAGGTACCGTGTGCTCTTCTCTATTTGGAAGCATATAGTGAAGCATGACTAAGATAAGATTATTTATTATTGTGGATTTCTACTAATACCCATTTTATACCTTTGAACTGAGTCTCACTGAATGTTCCCAATTAACAGATCTGTGAATTTCTTGCATTAGATTCTCTCATTTGTTTAAAACAACACATTTCTGAGTAGGGCTCTGACCTGTCAAATCAAACTGATCAAGAAATAAGGCTTGGTTGGTATTTCCTATCTTTGCAAAATTCTCTGGATTGAGTAACCTCTAGGAAATACAGCTTTCAATTTTCCTGTTAATTTTTAGCTTTACAATATGGTGGTTTTATTCATTTGTATTTGTTTTGGTGGTTGCAATGCTACTTTTCCTATAGTTAAACTTGCTACACATTTACAAAGTTGTTCATAATTGGACTTTGGTCATATAATGTTTCAACACCCATCCCTTTTTTTACTGAAAGCCAGGGCTAAGCCCTAAGCACTAGTGGGTATGGCCCCAAAGGGGGGGGGGGAGTATTTTTTTAAAGAAACAATCACATTAATACCATGTCTTGATTCAATGGTGCCTTTAGTAAACACAAATAAGTGGTGCTATTTATTTTCCTAACAACAATGGTCCCAGTTTCCCTTCCACCCACCCCCCACCCCCCCACCCCCCCACCTGCCACTATGGCAGGCACTTTTCTTTTCTCTGTGTCTGTATCTGTCTCTCTCTCTCTCTTTGGTTAGACATTTCTTGACTAAAAATCTGTATAAAACTGTGTTCCTCCATTCTTAGAAGACAGTGATGTGAAACTGTGTTTCAAAAATAAATAAAGGAAGCATATAAACATCCTTAGCAGTGGGATTGTTTTATAACTTAGACCAGAGATTCCCAAACTCAAGTGACCCTTTTCTCAAAAAAAAAAAGAAAAAAAAAGGGACTTAGTTTGCCCTTGAAAACCTACCTTTTAGGGAACGAACCGAGAGCTCCAGAAAGCAGCCACAGATGGCACTCTAGGCAACTACTGCCCTGCATGTAGCACTCAGAGGGATTTATTCTACTAAAGAGTCAAAATTAGCTCAAGACATAAGTGTTTGGGTGCCATTAACTAAAAAGAAGAAACTTTTCCAATAATTGCATTCATCAGAAAACTCAAGAATATTTATAGGAATCGAGAATCCAGTAGGTAGAAATCCAGCATTCAAGTGTTCACTCAAAAGTTATTAAAACCTAAAGAAAAATATTGTCTACAATGAGGAAAACAGACTCAGATGCTAGTGAACAGTGAAATTAAAGCAGTTATTATGGGGGTCAGGGAGTTCGTACAGTGGGTAAAGCCTTGCATGTGGTCCACCCAGATTCAGTCCCCAACGTCCCACATGGTTCTCTGAGCACTGCTAGGAGTGATTTCTGGTGTAGAGTCAGGATTAATCACTGACCATAGCCAGGTGTGACTCAAAAACAAAAACGGTTATTATGAGGGTATTCTATATGCTCAAGAAGCTAGGGAAAGATCAACTCAAACTTAAAGAAATGAAAACTACAATGGTTGAATAAAAAACACACTGGATGGTAGCACTGTAGCATTGTCCTCTCTTTGTTCATCGATTTGCTTGAGCAGGCACCAGTAATGTCTCACAACAAAGTGTGAGACTTGTTGTTACTGTTTTTGGTATATCGAATACGTCACAGGTAGCATGCCAGGCTTTGCTGTGCGGGCGAGATACTCTCGGTAGCTTGTCGGGCTCTCTGAGAGGGGCAGATGAATTGAACCCAGGTCGGCTGTGTGCAAGGCAAATGCCCTACATGCTGTGCTATCACTGCAACCCACAATGGATGGTATTATAGCAAAAATATAGTGACTGGAATTTTTCTGAATGTGGTTAAATTACAAATGTATACATCTGAGAAGCTTAACTAACCCTCATTCTAAGGACCATGAAGAAAATGGTAAAAATTCATTACAGCAAAGTTGTTTAAAATGAGTGAGGAGGAAACCTGGGAATACCAGAGGGAAAAAAACTCTTAATGCATAGGAGTGTAGGTTTTACAATTCTGCATGTAAAATTATATTGCATCATCATTCAAATGAAGCTTATTTAGGAATGCTGCATTTATAAAAATGGATCAATCCAGCTTATTGTGTTAACAGATGAAAAAGGAAAATCATATGGTCTTAATAGATACCAGTAAAACAAAAACCAACATTTAAATTACCCATCTTTTAAAAAAAAAACTTCTTATACATGAAGTAGGAAATTTATTGTCTTGAAAGGGACATCTGTATTAAAACCTTATAGCTGACAGTGTATTTAATGATGAAAGATGAAATACTATGATACAAGCATTGTAAATCTGGAGGTTATAGGAAGTAGGATTTGGCCAAAAATGAAAGAAGCAGCCACATCAGAAATCAAGCAATAAAATGGTCTTTAGTAGCAAATGACATGATTGTTTATGTGGGGGAAAAAAAAAAGCCTATGGCATTTACAATGGGATATTTAGATAAGTGAGCTTAGTGTATTCCCAGAGGATTTCAGAAAAATATGCAACATGATTTTTTTCTCCTTGCATGGGGGGTACTTAGAGACTATTTCTGTTATATTCTTAGGGGTTATTCCTTGGCTCTGCAAGGAGTGTGTGGTATGAGGAATCTAACTGGCATCAGCTGCATTTGAAGCAAGTGCCTGAAGTCCCGAATTCTCTCTGGCCCCTGATTCTAGTTTTCTAGAAAGACAGACCAGAAAAAAGAGCTAGGTTGATTTGTCTCCTAAATTCTTTTCTCCACATCCTTTTTTACATTTTCTTCCCTCTTTTCTCCTTGCTTTCCTCTTTTTTTTTACTCCTTTGGACCCCTTTTTATTCTTCCCATCTCTATTCTAACTTCTGCAAGTTGTTCTGTTTGTAATAATAGCAATGAAAGTCACTTTTACAGAAATGTCTTTAGTCCATTATATAAATATAATATCAATACATATTTTATGGTTACTAGGCAGTGCAGATATAGGTCTTCTGCATATATCTTGCCCTTATTTAATATTTTTAGATAAACATTATTATGCATTTTTTTTTCATTTCACAAGCAGATGCATGTCATTTGTGTTAATTAAGCCACATCCAGGTGTGAGTCACCAGGTAGTACTAGGTTTTCTTACATTCACTTATTCTTTGCTTATTCTGGCCTTCCACTCAATGAGCAGCTATACCATCCTTCCTTCACCTTCTAATGTGAGGAAGACGTCAACGAGGGCTTGTGAGCCTGTTCATTATATTTCTCGTTCATATTTAATCAGTCTTCTAGGTTCCAGGAAATGAAGATGGCTTTATGACCTCTTGAGACCTACCTCTTTGCCTCCACCCTCTCCTAGTCCTATGTGTTACCTTCAACACCTGCAACCAAGACAACCTTCAAGGGGGACCCTTTCCTTTGTCAAGACCACTTTCTCATCCTACCCTCACGTTCTAGCTCTTAGCTGAATGGTAGGGAAGCTGTGGTTGACCTGCCCCACTGCTTATAGATGCATATATCTGCCTAGAATCTGTCACTGTTCCTTAATACTTCTAGACTTAGTATTATACCGGAATCTTGTTTGTTCTTCTCAGTTGTTCTGCAGAGGTGGGCTTCAGTTTGTGTTAAGCATCGTTCTCTTGATTCGTCCTCTGGCTGGATTAGTAGTGCAGCACATGTCTGGGATTAGATGGAGCCAATCTGATTGTAACATTATAGCTCAGCACAACTCTTGGAATTTCAGGTAACACAGGAAGAAGGACAGCAATTAGCACGACAGCTTAAAGTAACATATATGGAGGCATCAGCAAAGATCAGGATGAATGTAGATCAAGCCTTCCATGAACTTGTCCGGGTTATACGGTAAGAAAAACCCCATGATCCCTAAATTTGTTTTAATCTACTTACTCTAATGTGAGGGTAATCACTATTCTTTTTCATAGCCATTAACTGAGGGAAAACTTAGTACAGAGCCAGGTTGGCTGAATGCAAGGGAAGCACCTTATTTGTTGTACTATCTCTCTAGCCTCCAGAGAGGTTTCTTTTAAAACAGTTTTTAAAAGTTATTCCATGTGGGTCAACCCAGTTGAGGAAGCAAGGGTTTAAAGAACTTAACCTGACACATGTAAATTCAAACCCTAGTACTTAGAGAAGAGCTGAGTTGATCCTAACAGCTCTTCTATTAGGGATCACTAATGAACGAGGACCCAAAAAATGGTTCTGTCTTTAAACGCCAGTGCCACATAAATGCTGAAGGTAATCAGACTGCCCTGGATGGTTTAGGGTCTCCGGGAGCAGGCAGATGGGGGTGGAGAGAAGAAAAGAAATGTATATTGTATTCTTACCTTTTAATTACTTCCTGAATATGAAACCTAATTTTACAAAAGTAGAGACTACAGATAGGTATTTTCAAAAGAATACATGTAGTTTCCAGAGAGGTGTTCATGATAATGCAATGAAGATAAGATATTTTTGCCACATACTGTGCTAAATGGTTTCCATGTGTCAGTACATTTCACAAATTAGACCCAGTAAGAAATTTGGGTCTTTCACTCCCGCTTTCATCTGAGAAAAATAGAAGTCCAAAGAAGTTAACTAACTCTTCTAAGTTTAGACATATTAAATGGCAGGGCTGAAATTTGAACCCCTATCTCTGGTCTGAGAGCTTGTGCTCTGAACCTGTTTTCTCACCCAGTTCTTGCCTGGCTCAAAGTAAGCTTGAGAATGGAGGTTCAGGCCTCCCAAAAGGGCATGAAACAATAAAACAAGAGTTTCCTTGTTTGCTGACCTTTGAGGGCTCCATGGTTCAGAAAGTGTCTATGAGTTCCTGGAAGCTGGAAGTGAGGGTGAGCTGGAGTTACTATGTATGTTACATGTGAGAAAGCTGAGTTGCTTTACTGGACAGGATTTGATTTGAGTCTTGATGGTCTGGCCCCTACTTTACCCTCTGCTCTTTGCTTTCTCTGCCAGTTGGTTGCTTTTACAGGTAAGTAGAGTGGACTCAATGTTAATTATTTACCTCATTTGAAAGATAGACTTCAGATATTTTCTAGCCCTTTGCCAGGGTATATTCTTGTGGGGAGCTGGGTCAGGGCATGCAGGGATGATATTATAGAGTGGGGCTTTTTTTATTTGATTTTTAACAGTTTGTTAAAATCTGAGTTGCTCTTTTTAATGAGTACAGTTTATTTTGCAAGATGAAAAGAGTTTGGAGGTGATGGTGGAATGGATGCACAATATTGTGAATATGTTTTATGGCTGTGAACTGTCCACCTGGCTCCCTTGAAGCCCTGGTCACCAGAAGCACCACTGGGTCTGCACAGCGGTGTATTTCTGGCCTGAGCACTGAATAGTCTAGGCTTGCACAGCTGGGCAAGTTCAGCTGCTGTTGGCCCACCGGTTTCCCTGAGTACTGGCTTGAGAGACTCTTCCAAAGTAATTATAAATTTTGTGTTGTTTGTATTTTAATATGCATATATACACACTAAAAACCATTCCCTTCTTAAAATTATTTTTACTGCTTTAAAAAAAAAGTTAATGTTCTTGGTTTTTATCCTCAGATTCTATCCACAGCCATTAGTCAGGACTAAGGAGGGGACGGAGGACATTTAAATATAACATGATCTGTAATCCTCACAGTGGCTGTACAATGCTGGTTTCTCTAATTCCACTCCAGGAAATTCAGGCTCAGCAGGGCCATCTGAATTGTTTAATAATGTCTGGTACTTAATGAATGGCAGGACAGGGATAAGAACTATATGCCTTATAAGAATAATTTTCTCTTGTCCCCTCCATGATAATTTTTTTGCAGATGGGAAAAGGGCCACTCCCAGCAGTGCTGGAGTTGGAGACCTGAATTTGATGGTGCTCAGACCCCAGCAGTGTGTGTGTGTGTCTGGGGGAGGTCACCAGAGCTACATCCTGCAGTCAATGCTAGGGACTGAGGGAGAAGCCTGCAAATGCCTGGGATTGAACTCAGGGTTACCACTGAAACCACATCCCCAGTCCTGGGATCTTTATTCTTAAGCATATTTTAGAGTCATGGGATTTTAAATTGGGTTGGGAACTAATAAGTTACCTAGTTCAGAGTCATCTGATTCAGGACATGCCCAGTAATGAGACTCAGTTAGTTCTTGGTTAGGTGATGCTGAAGTGTTTGTCCACCTCATCCCTGCAAACATCCAAAGATGTGCTTTGCTATCCTAATTGAACTATAACATTAAGAAGCAGATACATGTAAACTTAACTTGGCCAAAAATAACATGTTCTTATAATAATATGTTATTACCAATAAATCTATTATGTATTTTTCCCTTTTACAGGAAGTTTCAAGAGCAGGAATGTCCTCCTTCACCAGAACCAACTAGGAAAGAAAAAGACAAGAAAGGCTGCCATTGTGTCATTTTCTAAGAATCTCTTGAGTTTTAGCAACCAACTGCCAGGAAAAGCCCTCATCTTCTCTCCTATGGTTTACATCATGTTGGTACCTTTCAAGCCTTAGACAAATGATCACCATGGTAGCCTTAGACGAGAAGCTGGCTAATCCTTTTGTAAAGCTAATCCTGAGGTCATTTCAAGATAGATTTAAAGGAAACACTAAGGCTGCTTAAAAGATTATCTGGTTCCTTTAAAATATATATCTATGTACACAGACACTTTTTTTTTTTAAGGGCTTACATTTTAATAGGGAAGAATCAGATTTGGAACCTAAACATTTGCTGCACCAATAGGTTGACTATAGGTTGTGAAATAACTTTTAACTTCTGGAATCAACTTCTGTTTCTTTATATAGAAATATAGGGATTTTTTTTCAAATGTGAATTTTTACCTAGCTCTAAAAATATTGTTGTCAACTTTAGTTTATCTTAAATACACTGAACTGAATACACAAAAGTGAAACATCTCAGACCTTTACTGATGCTACATAGTCTTGTTTGGCCAAAATACCAAAATGCCTATTATTTATAGATTAAAAATTACTTGTAGAGCCTTTATTACTACTCTTACTCTTAAAGATGATCATTTCTATGTGGCCAAATATTTGTTCTTAGTCTGAATTTAAGCATTTCAGTGTTCTTGTTTTTTTTTCTTTTTTAATTTAACTTTTCACAGCCATGTTGAAAGTAAAAAATAAGTAATTTTTGTCTGTCTTCCTTTTCAAGTATTTCTGAATAAGGGATTTAAAAGAAACTAAAACAGTTTTTCTTTGTAATATAAAAATATGGAATTGATCTTTCCAGGGTCAGAGATGATTAATGTTTTTGCTATATACTTTTATACATTATTTTCTTATCAAACTAGTTAACAAGTATTTTTATATGTTTGTAAGCAAATATGCTTTCACAGCATACCATGTGTATATGTAAAGATAAGTATTTAATTCTCACTGTTCACTTTTAACTGACAAAAAAAAAGTGAAAACTACAAAAACTGTGGTAGAATTTCTCTTTGCTGTTCTGGTCCCTGTAGCCACCTCTGGCCAGTCACGTGTCTATTCAAGAAACCTAATAGAGTACAGCCGGATGTACTCAAAAATCATGTTCAGCCCCTCCCTCCCTTCTTATTAGATATTGACTGTTATATCAAGTAGCAAGTGTAAAAGTTTAACTGACAATTTGTGTAACTGTGGATGGCCTCTGATTTCCTTTTTAATGCTGTGGATTGTGTTTAAACAATTCAAACGTATGTTCCAGAGTTTGAGATACTAAGTGGTATTGCACAGTTGTCACTTTATTGTATGTGTACAACAGCCCCATAAAGTTTATAAAAGCGAACCCTGTACAGCTTCAGGTGCTAGAATTAAAATTGATCAGTAATCACAAGATGATGCCTGATGATTAGTTATTTTGGTGGTTTCTTGAAGGCGTGAGTGTTGGAGGCAACTTACTTTATAAAGCCTTTTCCCAACAAGGCCTTTAGGGTTTGATAAATCAATAGTGGTAATTTGGTGAACTTGAAGTGAAATGGCTTGACATTCTTGCATATTGACTCTGTTTCTTAAACTCCTTCTATGAGGGACTCCTGCCAGAGAACCCCCAGGTGTAAAAGCGAGAGTGTGAATACATAAACATGTATCCCTCTGGGCATGAAGCCAGGAATAGTTAAAGCAAAGCACAACAATTTATTTGAATGTTAATTAAGATTACCTCGCACAAAGCTACCACATTTGTTCTGTGCTCTTGCTGCTATAGTGCTATCATCACTTTTGTTGAAGTTCGGAAAGTTTATCATGGGTAACTTCAAAGAACAAGAGACTAAAGAGTACCCAGATTTACTGGCAAATTTTACCCTGCATAGATTATTTGTAGCAAAGCAGCCCTAAAATTATGTTGTGTATTTCAATTTGCTTTTCTTCTGTCTTTCAATTTGGTTAATTTTTATTGCTGCGTTTTCATAATTTTTTCTTCTGTGATTATTTAAGCTGTTGTTTTTCTACCCACTGATTTTCTTTTTCTTTCAAATTCAGACTTTGCTTTTCTCCTTTGTGGAAGTTATATTTAGTTTTTTTTTTTTTTAAATATGTATAGATCTTCAGTTTCTTTCATAATGTGTACGTGTTCCATTATACAAAAACTTTTTACTTGAGTTCCCAAAGAAATAAAATGCTTATCTGTAATAATTTGCTTCCCTTCTATGCTCCTAGAATTGTGCTACCTTTCCTGAGAGATTTGAGAAAACAGTCACTCAGAGGATGTGTTGCAGGATATAAATCACTTGCAGAATCCTGATTGAGAAGTAATTTCTTAGAATATTTGAACATAGTTTTGGTAGCTATTTGAATATGCCTATTTGCTGATCCTGTCATCTCTTAAAATTTTGGATCTGTTTCTGTTGACTTCCTTTTTTCCCCCTAATGGTCTCATTTCTTGCATTTTTGCACAGGTAGTAAGTTTTGAGTGAATGATGGATAGTGTATATATTTTGCGTATCTCAGTTTTGTTTTCTCTGTCTAGACAGTGTTGGGCTTTGTTCTTAAAGGCAGGTAATTTATTTGCACTTCAGTTTGAACCTTCCAAGTCTTGTTTTTAGCTTTCATGTGGTCTCAAGTAGTAACGATTTAGTTATACTAGTAAGGCTTGGCATCTTCGGGGTCTCTGCTTTGAGAGTGAGGCTCTCCAATTTGGTGATTCCAAACCCTCTTTGTGAACTCTGGGCTGTTTCCAGTCCACTCTGTGAAACTCTGCAGCCCTGTCTATTCATGATTTTGGAGTTTTTTCTATATAGCTCTTTAATTTTCCAAAATTTAACCCTATACCTTTAAGGTGCCCCAAACTCCCTGATTTCCAGTGTCTTTTCAGTTCAGAGATTTCTTATGTGCTGCTTGGAATTCCCCCATCTCAACTGCTGCCTGGATGTGCCTTTAGGTAGAAAGCCAGAGCAATTTCCTGGTTTACCTTATTTGTTTCTCCTCCATCAGGACTGTAGTCCTATGCTGCCTGGGCATATGAAGTCTGATAAATAGTGGCTCCTCCTATTCAGTCCACTGTTTTAGTTGATTAAGGTTTAGAGGACAATTTAGTTTCTGCTATTCCAGCTGCTCAATATGATTCGAAGTCATCTTTTCAATTTCCATCATCCAGAGCCCTCTTAATCTCCTACTTGAAATCTTTTCTCATGAGAATGTCCTGATTCTTGGTATGAATAGTCCTTGTCTGTGTATTTTTATCTCTAGCAGGGGTGGGGATAGGAGCTGGCAAACTTTTCTGTAAAAGGCCAGATAGTAAATGTTATCTTGGGCTCTGTGGGCCATATGGTCTCTGTCATAGCTACTTAACTGCTGAGGTAGCACAGATACAGCTATAAGGAATGTATAAATGATTGAACATGGCTGTGTTCCAATAAAACTTTATTTGTGCACTCTCAAATTTGTATTTCATATTATTTTTATATCAAAGTTGTATTTCATTCGCTTTTATATAAAACTTATTTTTGATTCTTCTACATCATTTAAATTTATAAGAACCATTCTGTATAATCCAGATGGCAGTGGATTTAGTCTAGAAATCCATGTGAGCTTTGGTTTGGCAGTCCTGCATGTATCCCATTTAGCATTTGAGGTTATTACATTCCTAACTTTATCTTATATCTTTTTAAATATAAGGAGAGTTTTTTTGTATAGAATTTCTTGAATTAACAGTTATGAATTCTCCTTTTGGGTATTTCTCCCAATATTATTTGTTTAGGGTTTGCAACATTTCAGAGATGGACATTGTCTAGTTTATATATGCCTGTGATCCTGCTTGAATAGTTACCCGGCAAATAAGTAGGAAGAGAGGGTGATAAAGTAGTCATTTGTTTATTTTATTGCAGTATTATGATTAATAACAGTTGATACTGATGTTTTATTTATGCGATGTTTTTCCACTACATCCACCACCAGGGTGCCAATGTCCCCCCAACCCCGCCCCAACTCTCCCTCAGCCCTTCTCACCTTCGCTGCCACCACCTCCCTTGGTCAGACTTGGTCCTGCTGACAAAATCTCAGAGTTTGTTTTCATTGTCTATTCTATAAAGTGTTAACTTTCAAATTTTAACACTTCACACTTTTTCCCCTATCTTTTGGGCCATACCCGGTGTGGTGCTCACATCTGACAATGAATGCTCTTAGTTGCCCTTTTGGTCCTAGAGATAAAACCTGTAGAGCATACAGTCAGCCTTGCCTTTGAGCTATCACCCTGGCCCTACTTGATCTCTTTTTTAAAAATTAAAATAAGTTTTCTTTTATGAAATCACTGTAAAATAGTTACAAAGTTGTTCATTCAGTTACACAATGTTCTAACACCCATCCCTTCACCAGTGTACATTTGTGCATTTCCTACCACCAATGTTCCCAATTTCATTTCCCTCTTTCAACCCTCCCCCCAGTCAATCTGCCTCTGTGGCAGACACTTTATACCCTCTCTCTTTCTCTCATTTGTAGTATGGGCACTGAAAGTTTGATCTCTTAAAGTTATAAATAGTCAGTGGATTATTACTTTGAAAATTAAAAATTTTCAGAATACTTTTTAGAAAAAAAGGTATTTAATTTAAAAAATGACTTTATTGGGTAGCTCTCTTAGGTATTCTGGGGGAAATGAATAAATATGAAAATTTTCTTCCTCTAGATTATTCCGTATTGGAGGAGGACTAAGGCCAAATAAATGCTGAAGCTGCAGAGTTGAGGTAGAGTCGAGAAGCAAGCAAAAAAGTCCCCAAGTCCAGTAAAAGGAAGGTATTTGTTTCCTCTGGAAAATGCTTAAGTGTCAGTGGAGTGGTAGGATTTGAAGTGAAAGAAGTGGAGATGATGAGTCGGTTGTGGCAAGAAGGTTGGAGTAAAACACAGTGTTCGCAGAAGACTGAGATGTTCTGGGCCTGGAGTGCAGAGAGGGGAAATAATGACAGAGAAGACTGGGAGTTGTGGAGGGCTTTTAGTAGTGTGACCCCTTGGTATATACTGGGAAATTAGCCAGGATTCTTAACAAGAGGTTCCTGGATCCAATAAGAGGAGGACTGTGTGGATGTGAAGAAAAGTTATTCCATAAATCCTAAGGGAATCATGAAATCTACACTCCCTATCTTCTGCCACTTTCATCTAAACTGTTTGTCTTTCACATGAGGTTAAGTACTGTTTCCTCTGAAGTGGATTTTATTTCCATTTTACCCACTTTGTGCTGTGATTTCAGTGTAGCCAAAGTGTTATTATTTAGAGCATGAGTTTAGTGTTAAGTTATAGCTCCTAGTCTGTCAGTCTTTTAGTGTGTTCATACTATAACGAAATAATGTACAAGGCAACCCCCACGAGTAGCTAACAGGTTTCTGCTTCTCCTCTGACATCAAGCTAATTCGCTTTCTTTATTGCCCAGAATTGCCAAATATCTTCCAAATCACCTGCTTCCCTCAACTATTCTAAGATTTTTTTTTTGTTTGTTTGCTTGTTTTTCACTTGGTTTAAATGCCACATCTGGTGTGCTCATGGCTGACCCCTGACTCTGCACTCAGGGATCACTCTTGGCAGGTTCTGGGAACCATGTGTGGTACCGGGGATCTGACCCTGGTCAGCTGCATGCAAGGCAAACACCCTACCTGCTCGCAGTCTGGCTCCATGGACCCCCCCCCCCCCCCAACCACCCATTCTAACCATTCCATCTTGCCTTCATTTACTGACATTTACCTCCTGTAATTGGTTAGCTCCAACCTACCATGTTGAAAAGCTCTGTGAAGGCAGGCTATGGTGATTATATTGACTGTTTCATGAAACAATATTGCCTGGTAAGTGCAGAAAATAAAAATTGATGAATGAATCAGGCACAAAGGCAACCGCTACTAAAAGGAATAAGTGACAGTTACATATGGGGCTAGTTCAGGGGGTAGTTGGGAACGGCGATTAGAGCTCCAAAGGAGTAAAATTTGGAATTATTCCCTCTGAGCTAATGATGGAGGAGTTGAGAGCAGATTTCAGTAGAAAGTATATAAAACTTGGGAAAACAAACAGTTGGGTATAGAAGATCATGAGGCAGCAAAAAGCCATGCGAAGCATCCAGAAATAGAATTGAGAGGCTATTGTCTGGCTGAGGGAGCAGAGAGTAAAGCTTTGAGTGCTCTGCACAGAGAAATGATTAATATTTAGAAGTAGCTGATGGCTTGCTTAGATTTGGCTAAGTCAACTGCTTGTGGGAAGCAATTACAATAGGATGAGTTGTGATTGGAAAACAGGGACGTAGAGAAAGTAAGTGTAGGATACTACTATTTTGAGAAATTCTGTGCCAAAGTCAGAGGCAGTTACCTGGCATTATAAGGATGGATGTAAGAGAAGGAAGAACAAAAAAAACAAATGCAGCATAGATCTGTGGGTATACAAGTCTGTAAACAGATATTGCTGTGCAGATGCACTGTAGAGATTAAAAAGCCTATAGTTTCTAGACTGGCCTTCTTTGCTGGTATATGAGAAAAAATGGCATCGAGCAGGGCTTTAGAGTTCTGTTCTTCAATCTGTGGTCCATGGACTGTTTCAGTTCAGTGTCAGTTGGTGGGAATTTTTTGGCTGTCCGCCAAAAAATGCTGCCCCTACCCCCACCCCCCAACACTTACATAGCAGCTAAGCAGCAGCAGATGTCACACTAGCTAAAAATTGTACATTTATAATACTGGGTTTAACAAAGTGCCGCTAAATTGGCTTTTAGTTCTATCTTTGTTGTCAGCTGGTCTACAAAATATTTCTCTTTTCTCTGGCCCACAGGTGTAAAAGGGTTGCAGAACACTGTTTTAGACTGTTTCTAGTGAAGGACTGGTTAAACATTAAAAAAATGCCTCCTCTTGGGGCTGGAGTGATAGCACAGCGAGTAGGGCGTTTGCCTTGCACGTGGCCAACCCGGGTTCGAGTCCCAACATTCCATATGGTCCCCTGAGCACTGCCAGGAGTAATTCCTGAGTGCAGAGCCAGGAGCAACCCCTGTGCATTGCTGGGTGTGACTCAAAAAGCAAAAAAAATACCTCCACTGTTGTGATGGTTGTTTGGCCAAATGTGATTAAAGGAGTTGCTAGAAAAATATTCATATTCTTGGCTATTGTGGCAATATCAAATTATTAGAAACATTTTTATCATTTGCTTTCAATTTCTGCATCTCACTGAAGGATGGTAACAGTTTTTCATGGCCTATTTTCAGACTGCTGATCTTGCTACAAGTAATACTCATGGATCACGGTCTGGAGATTCCAGTCTTTCCACAAGGGCCCCTTCCGACTTTCCAGATAGACTAGTAAATTCCAGCCTAAGATCCCCAGGAGGATCTCATGCCAACATTAGAGAAAGAAAGAGTCTACAAAGTACTTTAAAGGAGTCAGTAATCTTAATTAATGACATTCGCCCTTTTCCCTTTTTTGCTTATGCTTATTTGAAGTAGAGAAGACCATTTAAACGCATAGCCCCTTAAGATATAACTGCTAGCAGTCAACCCCAAAGTCAGGAAGTAAAGAACATTCTGAGTTTTATGAAGAATTTAAGCAATATAAGAAAATGTTAATGAATGCTATTTTATGTCATGACTGTTAAGTGAAAATCTTAAATTGTAGTTTGATGATAACATGATAAAATAGACATTTCATATGTGCCAGGGAACTTTCAGTTGTAAGTGACAGAAATGAAACTGAATCCAAGCCAGTTTCATTACAGAGTGGACATTTACTGGCTGGGGGTGTGGGGTTTGCTAGTCATTTTTAGTGACTACTACCTAAGTATTCCGTCAGGAATACTCTGAAGATGAGAAATGGTTAAACTGTGAAGGTGAGGCAGAGGAATCCTTAAATGTCAGAAAGCTTGTGTCAGACTCTCAGTCTAGGAAAGGTAAAATAACTGGCCCCAATTCTCATAGCTGTTCAATACAATAAAGACTTGAACCCGGTTCTCCAAGCTTAATTCTCTATTTCGGTCTCTACCCTCCAGAGCATAGAATGCCTTCTGAACCAACAGTGTTTCTAAAGCAAGGATGCCATTATTTAAATTTGACATTTCAGTACAGATCTTTTGCTCACAGATTTCAAAGGATTTAAATTGAAGAATTATCTTCCTACTCATTAGCATTCAGCTGCTATTTATAGTTTGTTACAGCATCTCACTCATTTTCAAAAGGGACTAATTTATTCATTCATTCTCCCTTCTTTGGGCAATATGAAGAACAAAATGAATGTGCTATTAAAATTAATTGCACCAGATAACCAAATACTGGATATCTGCATTTTTCTTGCTACTATGTGATAATTAGGGATTAAACATTTATCTTATTTGGACAAGAGTGTCCATTTCTTTAGGATATAAATATTTAACTCTGGGAAAAGAGAGACAACAGTCTTGGTACACTTTAATATTTACCTCTTTTAAACTGCTGTTTGTAATTGGGACTGTTTCTTAGATCAGAAAAATAACTTGACAGGGTACATTTTTGGGTGTATTGACATTTTAGCCATGGACTGGGCATGATCTAAGCTTTTGGAGATCTAGTCAATCTGAGAATGTTTGAGGTAATCCTTTTTAAAAGAAGTGCAGAGACTATGCCTCAAGTGTTTTAGTACACAAAGTTCAAATAAAGACTGGCACAAAAGCATGTTTGTTTTTGGCCCCACTCGGCGGTGCTCAGGGCTTAGTCCTGACTCTTCTGTCAGGAATCACTCCTGGTAGTGCTTGGGGTACCTTTTGAGGTATTGGGATTGAACCTTGGTTGACTGCATCCAAAGCAAGCACCCTACCCACGGTACTACCTCTCCAGCCCCACAACGTCTAATTTTACCCGTTCTCTTTGAGGTTATTGCAGTGACCAGGTGTTCACACGTACTTGGTTGTAGTGCTTGCACACTCACATTGTTCACACATCTTAGTTGTGTTTGTGTATGCTTTGATTGCCATATTCACTGGGGTTCCCATACTTCTAGCTGTAGTACTACTGCTTGGTTGTTGTGTAGATCACATTTTGGGGCTTGAAGGGGTCACAAACTCATTTTTTCCTGAGGACCCCACCTGTCTATTATTGACCAACCAGTGATTTATTGTGAGGGTCTGAGGATGCAGTGTTGCGAGGACCCTGTGGTGCTGGGATTCCCTGGACCACTTCCAGTGCACAAGGAGACCGAGCAAGCCTGGGGGAACATGTGGTGCTGCCAGCAGAAACAGTGTGAGGTAAGTGCCCTATCCAGTTGTACTCTCTTCTGCCTGATTTTGTTGTTGTTGTTGCAGCACAGGGCATCCCAAATAGTGCCACTGAGATCACACGCGATATGTGGAAGGTGCAGGGGATTGTACTCACAGCCTCATGCCTGCAAGGCTGCTCTACCCAGACTGAGCCATCTCCAGAGCCCTCAAAAGATTAAAAATAAAAACACAAAATCTTTGCATTTTTTTCATTCTGGGTCTAAAGCAGCCCAAGCTTTATTTTCAACTGCTACAACAGATTTTCCTTCAAATAATGCATTGGCAAAGTGACAGGTGAGTTACCCAATATCCTATTAGGAAGTAGATCTCTGGACTTCTTGGCATCTTAAAATATGGATGTAGATTGGATTACAGCTGGTTTGGCACTCACTGGTAAAACTGGGTACAACAAATGTAGCTGCTCTTACCTGGTCATTTTTCATGGGTACCTAGGCTCTGTATACTGCTATCTCAAGTGGCAATCCAAAACAGTTTTCATTTTTGTAGTAAAAAGTCTTTTATTTCCAAAATGATTGGTTAGCCAGTAAAAACTACAAACAACCTAGCACAAGACTTTGGTAAGAAAGAGATTTGACATTTCTTATAAACTCCCCCCTGCAAACAAACAAAAAATAACACTTACATAACGAGAACCATGTTACTCATTCTCAGCCATTACTAACCAGTTACCTTGTTTTCTGTCTCCAGAATTAGGATTAAAAATTTACCTAATGTGAACCAAATAAGAACACAGTAGAACTAGGGTACTTGTCCTCAAGGTGACTTAGGAATCCCCAGTTTATCAGGAGTAAGTATGCCATTAGCAGTTCAGAGTGATTTTGCCCAAGAGAACAGATTCTGTATTGAAACGTTGTTTTGTCCACATAAAAAAAATTTGTTTTTCCCCTTTGTGGTAAACTTTTTTGTGGGTGGGGAGAAACCAGTTCTTCTAATGATTTGGAAAAATGTGAGAAACAACTAAAGCTCTAGCAAGCTCAGGGATGTGATAATAATGGCCTTCCCAGAAACAGGGAGCAAAATCCCCTTACCCTTAGCTGCATCTGATTGGGGTGGCTGTCAAAAAGCCTAACCTTCTAAACTCTTAATAGTTTGAAAACTCAAAAGAGAGACCCAGTGCCCCTTTTTATTGAACTGCTTTGTGTTAAAAGAATACAAATTCTGAGAAAGTAGCGCGCGCACACACACATACTCGCACACACACATATGTATAGTGTTCGAAATATACTGATGTGTTGAATACGAATTCTTAGTATTCAGAGCATTGTTTGCATCTCATCTGTGATATATATTTGGATTAAGCTTAGAAAAGAAGATCTACAACAGAAGAACAGTTTTAACAAGTAAATGAGCAAAATGCTAGGGACTCAACTCAGTCAAATGTCCTTCTACATTAGTCCTTGGGAATCAGTCTCCCTGAATTTGGTGTGCTTTTGAGTGCTTGGATGGGGTGATGAAGGGCTGTGCGTGGAACTGAACCATAGGGTGAACTTCACCCTGGATAAATCAGATTTCCCCAAGCGGGACGTAAATAGATTTTCTTCCCCAGCTTAATTCTGTAATAGTCCTTTCTTTCTAGAATTTTCTTTCACGGTTTCTGAGATTCTTTTCTAGATAAAAAGTTTTGTAGCTGGGGGGGAAAAACAAGCCCAACTCATCAAGTACACAGATAGTGGTTTCTGTTGAAACATTGGTTGGTGGACTTAGCAAAATTTTTGCACCACTTTTAAAAAAAAAGTTCTTAAAGACTGGTTTGGAGCTTGAAAACCTTGATGCATGTGAGATTTAAGATTTAAGGTTTGGGCATGCTGGAGAGGCCAAGGCTGCTGCCTTGGCCCAGATTCCAGAGAGCAGCTCAGGAGCTACAGAAGGCTCAGAAGCACCTGGCAACCTAAACAGTGGCCAAAGGGGGAAGATACTTCGTGGACTTAGTTACTCTCTTCCTGTGTAAGAACCCACATCCTTCCGTACAAAACAAGTAGCCATGACATGAATAGATTCAGAACTTAAAAAAACAAAGCCACTGAACATCCATGCTGACCTTCACACCTACCAGCTTTATTTTCCCAAGACCCACCTGCCATTGATCAAGGAGACACAACAAGAACACCCCACTAAATTACTTTCCCAAAGTGGGTGAAATTACCCCCTTTGGTTTTCTCCTTTAGAGGGTGGGAAGGTAGCAGAATGATTGGGGTGGGGGTGCTAGTAGTATTGAGTAAACAGAAAGTAGCTTCAGGTGCAATTGTGGGTTTCTATTTGATCACTAAAAGAAGGCAGGTGGGGGTCAGGCTAGGGGAGAGCGCTGAGTGGATTGGTTTGTACTTTGCGTTTTGAAAAGGGGCAGTAGACCAAATAAGTTTGAGAAGCCCTTCACTAAAAATAAAGGAGCTGGGCAATCGTTTCCTGCAAGAATGAGCTGGCTGATGAAAATAAGTGGAGTCTCCTGATCTGACGATGAATATTCTCTCCCTGCTACCCCTGGGACGAGGAGCAGAGATGGAGCTGCCTTTCCTGGGTAAAGAGGTCAGAGTCTTGGCCTCAAAGCCCAGACAGGTGCTCTAGAGAGAGACTTGTTTGTTTCATACTGGCAGAGGGTCCCACTTGGCCTGCACCAATCAAGAAGTATACCAAGAAAGGGTGTCCCGGGCATCCACAAGACTATTGGGCACACCACAGTGTAGAAATGAAATCTAATGTACACGATATAAATTGCCTTAAACAAACAAGCAAAACAACCCAACCACTGGGGACTCTGGAATCTAGATTCTGGAAAACCCGGACCCTTGCTCGCTAACAAGGGTGAACATTGCAGGCTCTGATCTCCTTCTTGTCTTTGCAGCTGGTAAACTGGGAGCTCTTGAACCTCTTCTTTACCGTCATGTAGCGTTCCTGAATCCCACCGCCGCACAGTTTGGTGCATTCCGACCAGGCTGTCCAGGGGCGCATCCTACAGCCTGAAAGCAGAATGCCTGGTTAAGTGGGCAGAAACCGGAAACAGATCAGGGTTGCTGAACCCTAGGAAACAGCTGTCACATTTAGTTATGTGGCCTTTTCTGCTTTTGTGTGTGGTGGCAAGTTAAATACCTGAGTCCCTATTAAGGACTTTTAGGTCATCTGCTTCAAAAACGAGACCATAAAATACTTGGTAGCTCTTCCTAGTAAGGAATGGGGCCTGTTTCTTTGAATCTGAGCTCTTGTCCGTGGGACAAAAGCAAATGCGGGGTGGAAAAGGTGGTTGGGATCCTTCCAGAAACATGGAAGTAAGCCTGTCTTTGGGAAATAATGTGGGGAGAAGCCAGGCCCTGGAAATACAGGTGAGGCTGCCCTCCCAGCGCACAGCAGCCACTTGAATAAGCCTAAACTCTACCTTGGAAGAATCATCCAGCTCGGCCAGCCCTTCTGACCCACAGGATGGAGTTAATGGTTGCTTAGGAGTGGCTTTTAAATGCAGCAACCACTCAAGGACCAAATCATCACTTCATTTCCTTATGCTTTGCTCCCAAGTACTTAGTCTCCCTCTGTTTAGTTAATAAACTCAAGCACAATTTATTTTTCCTATGCAGGTAAACATGTCCTTTTCAATGAAGACTACTCTGGCCCCCAGAGATTAGGTTAGATCTTCAAAACAAACACACAAACACCAACTAAGAGGCCTGAGAGCTCGGGCGAAGAGCTGAGCACACGTTTTGCAGGAAAAACACCCAAATCGATCCAGCACCACCTTGTGTGACCCTTCCTCCCACCAAAACAAAACAAAAAAGGCCAGGTGTATGTCTAGCCTGTGCCATCCTGGGTTTGATTCCTGCACCATGTGGTCCCCAGAGCATGGCCAGGCGCATCCTCGGGCTCCTGCATTGAACCTCCGGCCCAGACGGTATAGGATCACCAGTGGTGCTCCTGGGCCTCCCTCCTGCTTTCAAACAACTCGCCCCCCCCCCCCCCATTACTGTATCTAGAATACTGTTTCTGATTATGTAGTCAGTATTAGCTGGCGTCCATGAAGATCACTGCACAGTGCTGCTCATAGACCTGTACTTACAGGATGTTTGCTGACTATCTTGCAAAAGGTAACAACACCAAATATTTTGTGGGGCCTGCGCAGCAGTACAGCGGGAAGGGCACTTGCCTTGTATAAGGCGACCCAGGTTCGATCACCAGCATCCCATATAGGTCCCCTGAGCATCACCAGGAGTGATTCCTGAGTGCAGAGCATTGCTGGGTGTGTCCCTACCCCCAACAAAAGCCCCAAAAGTTTGTGGGGAACAGCAGGAGAGCTCGAACGAGAATGAGTGCAGGCAGGTGGGACATTTGCCTTGCTCATGGCTAGTCCCGGTTCGATCTTTGGCATCCATATGTATTGTTCCTCAAGTCCTGCTGGGAAGATCCCTGAGCTCAGAGCCAGGAGAAAGCTCTAAGCGCAAAAGGAATAATCCAACCCCCAAACAAAACAAAAACATACACCTGGAGCTTACCCCACTTATTCTGAGTCCTAAAGCAATCCCAAATTATGCTGGATGATGGGGGGGTGGAGCACACAATCGGTTGCGTGGGCTACAAATTTAGTAACTTGCCTCTGTGCCACTGACTGTTTCTGTGGCCACTCTACACCGAGCAGCTCTCCACAGGCTCGTTAAAACCATCCTCTTTTTTTTTTCCTTTTTGGGTCACACCCGGCGATGTTCAGGGGTTACTCCTGGCTTTGCACTCAGAAGTTACTCCTGGAGGTGCTTAGGAGACTATATGGGATGCTGGGAATTGAACCCAGGTCGGCCGCGTGCACGGCAACAGCCCTACCCGCTGTGCTATCGCTCCAGCCCCTAAAGCCATCCTCTTGCTTCAGACCATCTACATTACCGAGTCTCCCTCCTCCCCTGCCTGGTGCTTCTCTCCCCAGGCGCTCTGCAGCCACGTGTCCTGGGTGCACGCGCGCACGTCCCGCCCTGGGCACCTTTGCCATCACCGCTGGGCCTCTCGAGGGAGATGGGGAGCGCCCTGTGCTCCCAGGGCCGCTCTCGCCTTGCCCGAGCTGGGCCCGCACCCCAGGCGCGGTACCTGGGAACTGCTCTCCATCGGCTTCTTCCCGCAGCTGCTCGCTCCTCCGGCTCTCGCGGGCCTCCCTCCAGCGCAGCTTCTGGATGGACTGGTTGCGGAGACATTTCCGCAAGCGGCACTTTTTCCTCTGCACCGTCTCGGGGCAGGGCGCCCCTCCGAACTGGGGCTCCATTTGGATCATCCGGGTTCGAATCATGTGGCCTTTCCCGCACGACTTGTTACATTCCGACCACTGCGACCACTCGCTGAGCTCACAGTCTATCGCTGGAGAGACACGGGAGCAGAGTGAGGACGTTACCCGCCAGCCCGCCCGAAACCAGAGCCTTCACCTCCACTCTCCTTGACACAAAACCCAGAAGCAACCAGAAGTGGGGCAGCTCCCCCAGTCTTCAAGAAGAAATGGACATTCCGGATGGAGATTTCCAGCCTACTGTCCAGGAAACCCTCGAGGCAGGAAAGGTGCTCAGGTTATAAACCTGCATTCTAGACAGCCACTCAAGAAGGCTTGGGGGTAGGGGTCTTTAGACATGGGTTGGGGGGTGTGGATGGTCTTTGGGGATATTCAGAGCCTCTTGTATTGAACTTTCATCTTTTGGAATATTGAGAAATTCAAGTGGGACTAGACTGAATGAACCCCAGTGGTCAATTCCTGAGCATTTTGTTACTTTCACAATTAAGGCCCAGGCAACTTCTGTCCTTGACATTATCCTGAGCTCTATTTGTGGCTGTGTATGTCCAAAGCAGGGGCCAGAAATGGGAAATTCAGCAGAAAGAATGGATGGGAGCAAAGGGCTCTAGTGTGCTGCCACAGAATGAGGTTCAGCACATTCTTGGTAAGCCAGCATCTCACCTTTGCGGACAGGCTCTATCTCAGTCTGATTCTCAGGAATGTGTCTGACCTACAGGGGCAAATAACTCCCAACTCTCTCCACTATTTTTCCAGAGTGGGACTAGACTGGAGCAAAGAAAGGGTTGTTCTGCTCAACAATGTCAGGCCTTTCACCCCTGAGGAAGGATATTTTAAATTTTCACATTAGGTTGTGAGGATTAAATGAGAAAAATGCTCCAAGAAAAAGTCCTGATCCCTAGTAACTACTCTTTATAAATACACTATCAATATTCTCTTCCCCCATTTCATTCAGTGCTGTTGACAGAATTTTGTTTAATGGCATCTCAGTCAGAAGGTTCTGGATCCTCAACTCTGGTGATATGGGTTGAAGTCAAAGTTATCAAAAGTCCCAGGCATTATGTTCTTGGGTGTCTGGGTCCTTTCTGCTCTTGACTGCGTCTAGTTAAATGAGCCCAGGTACTGTACCAGGGAATATCAATTGAGGCTGCTCGGTCCAGTGCTTGTCACTTTGTACTAATTCAGTTCAACCCTCAGAGCAACCTTGGAAGTATTCCCTGATGTTGAATTTTATAAAGAACAGGGATGCTAAGCTGGGATCTGAATCTGAGTAAGGAACCTGAGCGACAATAAAGCAGAGAGGCAGAGAGGGAGCAGGAAAAAGCAGGTGCCTTTCCTGGGAAGCTGGAAACCAGGTCAGAGCAAATGTGTCTGCCTTTCCCCCACCCCAAAGAGCATCTCTCTCTTAGTCAAGCAGAAATACCACCTCTTTCTGGAGAAGAGTCCCTGTGGAATAAACCCTGCTGATCACAAACATCTGGGGGTGGAGGGGGCGGCAGGGAGGTGGCAGGCAGCGAGAGCTTGTTCTGCTGACTTGCTGACTGGTCTTACCAAGGCTGCAAAGTAGAGGAGTGACTGATTTCTAGCGGTGAGTCTCGGGAAGAGAAACAGCACAAAAGAGATTGGAAACCCCATCGTTCAGGCGAGTCTAACGGGGCCGAGGAAGAAGGAGCCTCTGCTAAGTGTTTTCCCTCAAAATCTCCTATTTAGAGTTCCCAGCAACAAGCAATTTGTAGAGGGTAGTGAGAGCCCCACTTCATAATGAGATTCATTGCTTATGCGGATAGAACTGAGCATGCTTCTTCCCAGCACACAGTTGTGCTAAATGCCCTAATCAAGTGATTGCCCTACCGTGGGGGTTGATGGGAGAGAGATGAGGTGGGCTCCCAGGAGCTCCTGAACTTACGACATTCTGGCAGCATGCACTTCTCCGCCTGCTCCAGCTCCTCATTACAGTCCCCGAGTTCAGCCAGAGACTTAAGCATCCGCTGGCGGGTCCGCATGCCCTTCCCACAGGTGACGCTGCAGTCGCTCCACTCAGACCACGGGGACAGCAAGCATGGGATGGTGTCTAGACCAAGAACAAGGTCAACTGCTGAGGACAGAGAACAGGCTTCTTGGCTCTCTTTGCTCTCCCCCACTTCCACCTATGGCCCTCAGATAAGAGTGAAATTGAGGGGTGCAGATAAGAGTGGCCTCGTCCCCCAGCACCAGTGGAGTGTTCTTGTCACTCTCCATCAGCCTTGCTGTGGGTCATGACATGACATCACATGGGACTTAGTAGTAGGAATCCAGGTCCCCCTTTGAAAGGGTACTGGGTGTGTGAAGAGGGCCATGCTAGAGACAAACATCCCACATGCCCAAGAGTGCACCATGCAGCATTTTGGCTAATTTGCTGCTGGAGTTTCTAGTTTGGCCTTATTTAGTTGTGTGCATCTGTGCATTTGTGCAGTGAAATGCAGGTCCATGCACAGGGTAGCAAGTCAGTGTGGAATCAGAGTTAGGGATTCAGAATGCCCTTGGGGAACTGATATCCTGCCAAAAGCAATTTCAACGGCCTCTGTCTAAAGGCATGCTGAGTCCTAAGGGGATTCTATTCAGACCCCACCAATTTCCACCCTTCCCAGCACTGCTCAGAATGGTTCTCAGACGAGGCTACTCTAAGATTGGCTCACATCCTTAGAGGCCCAAAGTTGCTCTTGGTAGAGTTCAGCTTGATCAAGGGAAAACGCTTTTCCCCTGCCACTGCCCAGATGGAGGGCATAGGGTCCCCGTGGACAACCCCATGTCCAATCTAGTCCCGACTCACGACACTCAGGCATCATGCACTTCTCTGCCTGGGACATTTCCGCCTTGCACATGGAGCCATCAGCCGGGCTCATCTTGACCATACGGTGCCTCTTTTTCATGCCCATCCCGCAGGTGGCGCTGCACTCGTCCCACTCGCCCCATTCGGTCATCAGGCAGCTGTTGGGAGCTGGGGGTGGGGGTGGGGTGGAGGGTCGGGCGCCTTTGGAATCGCTTCCGCAGCCCCTGGGGCATCCCTCCTCCTCCACTCGGCCCGCCCGTTCGGCGCCCCCACTCACTGCACTCTTCATTGACCGTGCACTTCTCTATCTCCTCGGTGGGCAGCGTGCACACGGAGCCGTCCTCTGGGAACTGCTTCACGTACCTCTCCCGAGAGCGCATGCCCATGCCGCAGGAGATGCTGCAGGGCGACCAGGTGATCCACTCGGACATAGTGCAGGTGGAGCCATCTGCAACACAGCGACAGCAAGCTGCAAGCCCGCGCCGCCGCCAGGGGGCGCGCCGGCACACCCCGGCTGAACTCCCAGGGCCCGGGAATCAGAAGGAATCAGCTGACTTTCAAGGGGAGTCAGACAGTTGAAGATGGAAGTCAACGTGGTAGCTACAAACCTTTGAACCAGGAATTGTTCCAAATGCACGGATTACTCCTTGTACCATGACAACACATTTCAGTACATCTCTGAAAGATGTTTAAATGGATAGAAGCATGCTATACACGCATATGATAGAATATATAATTACATATAGTGTAAGTTAAATCATAACTTGTCTGAAGGACCTCAGATGTATCAAACATCTAAAAGCACTGAGTGTAGTAAAAATCTGACAAGGGTGTAGGTCCGTGATAGAGGGCATACCTCACATTCTGTTGGTTATATGTCTGTCTGTATGCCAGAACTAAATTGTTTTGACCACTGTAGCTTTATAAGAAGCTTTGAAATCAGAAGTGTGAATCTTCCAACTTTGTTTTTTTCAAGATTGTTTTGGCTACTCAGGATTGGTTGGTTATTTAATGATTTCAGACTCCCTATGAATTTTACAATACATTTTACTATTTTTTCCAATATATCTATTTTTCTACCTGTAGCTTTGTGTTCCCCATAGCTACTTCCAAACCAGATAGTTATCTTGTCACTGTCACTGTCACTGTCCTCTTGTTGTTCATCGATTTGCTCAAGTGGGCCCAGTAACATCACCATTGTGAGACTTATTATTACTGTGTTTGGCATATCGAATACATCACGGGTAACTTGCCAGGTTTTGCCATGCGGGCGAGATACTCTCGGTAGCTTGCCGGCCTCTCCGAGAGGGGTGGAGGAATCGAACCCAGGTTGACCGGTCGGCCTCGTAAAAGGCAAACACCCTACCACTGTGTTATCTTGTATCTACATCAATTCTCCTTTTGAACTTGATTATTTACAGACCAGTTAGAAAAAGGAAGGACAAAGGTTTCTGTGGATATTTGGAAGAAATTATACTAAAACATGAACATCCGTTTAATTACAGCAACTGTGTTTTAGTTTGGTTTCTCCTAATTATCTGGGACAACCTCTCTTCCACTTTCAGGGCACTAGCAGAGAGGTCTCTAGTAAAGAAAGATTAGTCACTGTGCCATCACACCCCAGCTGTGGCTCTCTGTGCTCAGTTTAGTTCACTGTCAATAGTTAGGCAGAGATCTAAGGTGGTGGCCCAGTGAAATAAACACTCTAATACACTGCCACATAATCTGATATTACATCACAAAGTTAGCTGACTCCTTGTCCGAAAAGGTCACACTGTCATTTGTTTGGGGATGCTAATGGAACTTCCAAAGTTCAAACTCTTGCGCTCAGAAGGCACTCAGATTGGTGCGTGACAGTGTTCTGCCTGCCCAGGGTAAAGTCTTGCCAGATCACAGAAAGCCTGAGTTACGGCTTTTCACCCAAATACTCCCAACGACATCAAACTGGAACATAAGTATCTAGTTGGTTGTACATGCTGCCTTTAGCTAGCCTTGTCCCTAAGTCTGAAAAGTAGTTTTTAGCTGTGATTTCTTACTGTGTACTACATTAGCTGCAGGTTAAATAACCATGCATAGGTATCACCAATATACAGGGGACTGCCTGTGGACTCTTGTAGCTGGTCTCACACTCTGATATCAGGCCTTCTAACTTCATCAGGGGGCATTCCCACAACCTCTTCCCTTTTCTGAAAGAAAAAAAAATCATTACCTAACAAAGGAGCACACAGGTGTGCCCTCTTGTGCAAAATCTTCCCTTGAACTCCAAGAAGGAACAGGTTTTTCTTCTCCTCTGTGCTTTCCAGTTAAATAGGCTTTGCTTTTATTGTCATGTTTTTAATACCTGGAATTATTGCCAGTTTATATGCCTATATTTTCCTCCAGAGTAGAATGAGATCCAAAGCTTACACATCTGTTTAACCTAAGAGTATACCGCTAAGCACTCAGTAAATGTTAATTGACCTGAATAAATGAATGGGTGGGGATGACTTCATTTTCTTCTTTATTTAGAAGTAGGCCGGTTATACACTACACACACACACACACACACACACACACACACACACACACACACACCTGTCTTTACACAAGGAGTAGCCATTCCCCACCCCCACCACCATGGCAACAGAACCACCTAGCTATGCAGAGAAGGTGGGGTCCTTACAATTGGCCTAGTGAGAATCTTGTCCTTGATCATGGCCTTTTCTAACACCCACAGATGGAAGCCAAGCGTATACAGCTCCCAGTATCAACACAGAGGTTAGTGATACTGCCTTCCTCATTCTTCTGTGTCCTCTCTCCTAGCACACACAGACATTCCATCCCCACTCCCCCGTCTCCTCCCCATTAGCAGCTGGAGTGCGTTCCTCTTTGTTATCGGTCAGCAGAAGCAGTGAGATGTGTTTATTTGCTTTTTGTGTGGTTTGGTCCTGAGTCTCCAGGTTAAGTCTTAGATTTGGAACTGGCAGCTTCTGACGGTCACTAAAATTTCAGGTTCCTCTCCAGCCAAAGAGCTTCCCCTATATCTCAAAATACATGCATAACTTCTTTGCAGAGTAGTTCACTAGTTTTCTGTACTGATGGACAGTTTCTGTATCTTCACTGCTCAATGTGGGCACAATTAGTCATATATGGCTATGGAACAATATGGTTAGTGACTGAGGAAATGAATTCTGAGTGGGAATAAGTATCCAACCAAGAAAAAAATGCTCAAACATGGCAAAATGATTTTCAACCATAGTGCCAAGACTATTCAATTAAGAGAATTAAGTTTTGTTCAGCAGTTGGTGCTGGGATATTTGAATATCCATATACCAAAGACTTGAAATATTTCCTAACACTATGCACAAAAACTAACTCAAAATGGATAAAGTCATAAAACTATAAAACATAAAAACAGAAGAAAATACAGGACAAAAGCTTCGCAACATTAGATTTGGTAATGAGTCTTATTTCTGATCCTGAAACCACAGGCAAGAAGATTTAGATGAACTGAATTTCATAAAAATTAAAAATGTTGGGGCTGAAGTGATAGTACAGCGGGTAGGGCATTTGCCTTGCAGCGGCCAACAGGGTTCGAGTCCCAGCATCCCAGAGAGTCTCCTGAGCACTGCCAGGAGTAATTTCTGAGTGCAAAGCCAGGAGTAACCCTTGTGCATGGCTGGGTGTGACTCAAAAAAAATGTTTGTACCCAAAAGATGGTATCAAGAATGAAAAGGCACTTTGAAAAATGGGATAAAATATTTGCAAATAATTTACCTAATAATGTATTGATATCTAGAATATATAAATATGGCAAGTTTCACTTTCCTCTGAGTGCCTTAGTATGGGTACAAACAACCATAAGCTCGTGGGAGGGCAGCCAAAAGAGGTGGATTAAGCTGTACTTGAGGGAGAGCTAGAGAGTGAATGATTCTGCAAGAGGAAGCATTCTTCAATTATCCTCAGCTAGAAGTGGCTCTCTTCCTACCATAAACACCCCATCTATACATCTCTTTCCCATTGCCTCTTTGCTCTTCAAAGACAGTTGAGATCAGAGTTCAGAATCAATAGTGAGGCTGAGAGAGGAGTAGTACCCTGGAAAGAAGGCAGCTGACACAGCAGTCAAGCCAGTACCATCTTGAAGCTTGCATCATTGTAGTCCATCTGATGCACACTCACCATTTAGGCCCTGCCTTTGAGCAGGGGCAGAGTCTAGAATTCTTACTACCAGCCCAAAGACCCTAGCACAGGAAGTGCTGTTCCAATTTAGATGGAAATGGGAAATACGCAGTCAATGGGGCAAGATATCTGAAGTCAACCCTGGCTAACCTTTTCACCTGCTTCTGAATAAGAGATTGAGATTAAGGTGCAGAAACAGACTGCTTGCTACTAGCTGCAATTTTTCATAAGAAGTTTGCTATCTCTCCAGTAACTTGTGTCTATTCCCTAAGGCTGAGGAGGAAGGGGAATGGTTAGTCTATCACAAGAATTATTTTTGGGGGGTGGAGAATACCCAACTGGCTTATTCCTGACTCTGTGCTGCTCAGGGACAACTCCTGACAGGGTTCAGCGATCAAATCAGAATTGGCTATGTCAAGGCAAGAACCTAATGCCCTGTACTGTCTTCTTGGCTAATCTCAAGAAATGTACACTGGTAAAGAGACGGGTGTTGGAACATTGTATGGATTAAACCAAATCATGAACAACTTTGTAACTGTGTATTTCATGATGGGTCAACAAACATAAAATAAAAGTCACAAAAGAAAAGAAAAGAAAGAAAACAAAACAAAAGAGGAAAGGAAAGAATTCTTCTGGGAATGCTGATTGGTCTGGCCTTTTTGGAAAACAATTTGGGCATACCTTAAAAAAACTAAAAATTGAGCTTCCATCACTGTATCACAGTATCACTGTCCTCCCGTTGTTCATCAATTTGCTCGAGCGGGCACCAGTAACATCTCCATTGTGAGACTTATTGTTACTGTGCTTGGCATATTGAATATGCCATGGGTAGCTTGCCAAGCTTTGCTGTGCAGGTGAGATACTCTCGACAGCTTGCCGGTCTCTCTGAGAGGAGTGAAGGAATTGAAACCCAGGTATGCTGGACCGACCACATGTAAGGCCCTATTGCTGTGCTATCTCTTCCATATGACCCTACAATACCACTTCTGGGTACAAAAAGCCTAGTAGAAATGACATCTGGACCTATATGTTCATTGGCAGCAGTATTCACATTAGCCAGAATCTGGAAACAACCTGGGTGCCCGAAAATAGACGACAAAGAAATTTTGGTACATCTACACAATGGAAAACTATGCAGCTGTTAGGCAAGATGAAATCATGAAATTTGCTTATAAGTGGATGGCATGGACAGTATCATGCTAAGTAAAATGAGTCAGAAAGAGAGGGCAAGACATAGAATGACTGCACTCATTTGTGGAATACAAAAATAACATAATATGAGACTAACACCCAAGGACAGTAGACACAAGGGCCAGGAAAATTGCCCCATAGTCAGAAGCCTGTCTCATGAGCTGGGGGAGAAGGCAGCCGGAATAGAGAAGGGAGCACTAAGACAGTGATGGTTGTAGGAATCGTTCAGGATGGGAGATAAGTGCTGAATAGTGGATTAAGGACCAAACGTGATGGCCTCTTAGTATCTGTATTGCAAACCATAATGCCCCAAAGTAGAGAGAGTATGGGGGAAATTGTCTGCCATGGAGGCAGGGGGAAGGTTGGAAAGAGGGGGATATACTGGGTACATTGGTGATGGAGAATGTGCACTGGTGGAGGGATCGGTGTTTGATCATCGTATGACTGAAACTCAAACACGAAAGCTTTGTAACTGTGTCTCACAGTGATTCAATTAAAAAATAAAGAATTTTTCTACCATGCTAAGATACACTATGTGCCCTTGTATCCCTGTTGAAGATAGAGGTATGTCTCAGGTGTTCCCACTGACAACTACATGCAGGGTCCACATGCCCCAAGAGGTATGCTTTTGACTGTACAAAAGTCCAGCCTGGGTGGGGCAAGGCGGCACTGATAACCTCTTGCCCTCCTCCAACATTCTCCATTCTCTCTCTCAATCTCTCTTTCTTTCTTTCTTTCTTTCTCTCTCTCTCTCTCTCTCTCTCTTTCTCTCTGTCTCTGTCTCTCTCTCTCTCTCTCTGTGTGTATGTGAGCATCTCCTAGATGCCTGTTGCCTGTGTGATCTCACCTTCATCGCTGCATCCTGGGCCCATGCAGGGCTGGAAGTCCTGGGTGTCGGGACAGGGGACACTGAGGTCCAGCTGTGCCTTCAGCATGCGCTGCCGCATCCTTTTGCCTTTCTCACAGGTGGAGGAACTACAGGCGGACCATGGGGACCAGTTGGAGTAGATGCAGGTTTCAGGAGTGTCATCTGGAGAGAGTAAGGGACATGTTTTTCCTATAGGAGCTGTGACCAGTCAGTCCTCTTCCCAGATAAGCTCATTTGGGGACAAGAGGATCTCTGCTACCTGACCTGCCTGGGCAGACCTGGGCACTCCCAATGGACGCCTCATTCCTCTCCTTTCAAAGTTCCACATTAGCACCAAGTATCTGCATAACATGTTTCTAGGGACGCAGCTCTCATTCACCCGTGCCTTCTATACTGGAACTTCTTTTCACTTCCAGTCCCTTTCCTTGGCAGCGCTGCACTCACACAGGCGCAGGCATATCAGAGGTGGCTTGTGTTGCATCATCTTCTGACCATCTACCAGCTGCCATGGTAAGAGTAAGGGCAGCTGGTGCCCACTAAGCACCTATCTGGCACCAACGTCACTCTAAGTGCCTTTCATGTTTGATTCTGTTTGATCCTTACAACTGCGCACTCACTACGAGGCAGCTGGTGCTCTGTTTCACCGATGAGGAAATCCTGGAAGAAAGGCAAGTGTCCCGCCCACAGTCAAGCATGCGAGCTGGAGCTGTGTGGCTTCTGGCTTCAGACCTGAGTCAACAAATGGCTCTGACTATCCCTCCTGACCAGGGTCTGGGCCTCACTTTCTTTCCAGTAGAGTGGGCATCGCCTCTTCTGCCTCAGAGGCAACTGCGAGAATCCAAGCAGAGTGTGATTTAGATACCTCACAGCTTAGGCAAATGCAATTTACATCATCATTTTCAAGAGCCAACACCGTGATCCATATTCAGTGTCACTTGCCAAGAGTGTGCTTTGTGCCTACACGTGGCCTTGTTTGGGATAGTGTCTTAGGCAGAAATCCTTGAACATGAGACTCCCAAGTCAAGGGATATAATACTTCTTCACTCTGGGGACAAATAAGTTATGATGCCCACTGGCATCCAAGGGAAACAACATTATGCACCTTCATCTTTCTCCTCTGGAGCGAGATCTGCTACAATATCATCCACGTTGTCGGGTACAATATTGCACTGCTCTCCCTGCAAAAGGAATTTTTCATGAAAGGTTCACATTAAAGAGAGGAGTGTGTGTGGCAGGACATAAAGTCTTATACCCACCCCATAAAATATCATCTAAATTCTCATGCCACCCTGGAGCTCTGAGCCAATATTTACAGTCTGGCTTACAAAACATATAGCTAGATTCGATCCCCAGCCTCCATTTGGTCCCCCAAGTACCATCAGGAGTGTCCTCTGAGGGTAGAGCCAGGAGGAGTAAGTCCTGAGCTCTGTCCGCTGAGATTCCAAAATCAAAAAGAAAAAAGCAAACAAAAAAATACTAACTTTTTTTTTTTTAAAGAAAGAGTCATTAACCAAGGATGGTAAGTGTGTGGCACACGAATTACCATTTCCTGGTTCCTGAGCCATGACAGACATTAATAACTGATTTTCCCACTCACGATTAGCCTGGATCAAATCATGAAATCCTCCATTCACTTTGCTCAGTTATAACTTCTGAAATGATTTGCGTATATGAAAACCATGAGAGGCCCTCAGAATTTCTTAGCCTGAGTTATGCCAAGGACCCCCTCCCCTGGGTTCTTGAGCAGAAAGGAATATGGTCTCCTGGGCGCTCCTGGGGGAAGGGTTCATGCCAGGGTGAACTCTAGGCCAGTACCTTCCGGGCGATTCTCTCGATGACAACTCTGGCTACTTGAGTGATGGAGCCGCCCTCTGGGTCATAGAAAGGACTCTGAGGATGATCCAGACTGGTCAGGGGCCGAATTTTCTCCTCGGGAATCGTGGGTTTGTTGGGTGACTGCAAGTAAGAGAGGAAAAAATGCATAGATGTTGGAGATAGATGTTGGAGACAAAACTGATTAAAAGCACAAAAGCAGGCTCTGGGAGATAGAACAGGTTGCAGACACATGGCCTGAGTGCATCCCTGGCATATCCTTTTGTGAAAGCAACACCCTCCCCCCAACCCCTCCAACAAACACACTCATTGCTGGTATGACTGGTGGACCCTGGTGCCACAGGGCCCGAGTTGTATTTTTTTAACCACTCTGGTGCCAGGAGTGGCTCTAGGACCGCCTGAACCCCCTCTAGAAACACTCCAAAAAGTAAAGGGATAGTTGTGAGTTTGTAGGAATTAAATTCATATACAGATATTTCTAGAACTGTCATGCTACTGCTGACAGGTGCTCTGCCGCTGAGTCGCGTCTCTGTTTTCAGACCTCTGGTGTGGAGTAGTGAGTCCAGAGGCAGAAGACACACCTCAGAGAGAGTCTCAGGTAGGAAATGACTCAGGCAAGTTGGTTGGCTGGAACACAGAGTGTCCTGCCGGGCCAGGCGCGGCCAGCGTTTGTCTCAGGAGGCCAGATGATAACTATTTTAGGCTTCGTGGGACTAAATACTGTGTCTGCAGCTCAGCTCAGCTGTTGTGGCGAGAAGCAGCACAGACAGCATGTGTCAAGTGAACAAGGCTGGGTTCACACGCTCCACTTCCAGATCAGGCAGTGAGCCCCAATAGGTTCACAAGTCATGGATTACCATCGTCTGTTCTAGATTGTTCTCCCACTGGATTTCTGATGGCTCCAGGTTCTGCTGCATCTGGGGGTCCTGACCATATTTAAGAAATACTGACATTCAGACAGAAACCCAAGTGCCTTAGCTGGGCTGTCAGGAAACTGTTAGAATCTGGCCCAGCTTGATGCCATCACTAACTTCATTTAGCCTCTCTCTCTCTTTCTCTTTCTCTCTCTCTCTCTCTCTCTCTCTCTCTCTCTCTCTCTCTCTCTCTCTCTCTCTCTCTCTCTGTTCTCTCTTTCCTCAGTTCACAATGTCTAGCATAGGGCTGGCCGGGAGGGGGTGCCCAGGCAGCTCTGCCGCTCAGCCTACCTCATAGGTCACGCCGCTGTCGGTGCCGGCATCCCAGGGAATCAGGTCCTGCACCACCTTCTGAACCCAGCCGCACTCCTTGGTGCACAGATCCTCCGCAGACAGGCCCACGTTCCAGTCGGGGCTGGGGCCCATCATGGTCAGGAAGGACATCAGATGGCGCATTCTGTCCACTGAAAATTCTGCCGAGGGTGCTGCTCTCCTGGAAATTAAACAGACCATTGCTCTAGTGGCCCCAGGATTAGGGACAGCGAGAAGTGAATTCCATCTCCCACTGAACTCCCACCTCACAGATGATGTTCCCATAAACTTTTAATGATATTTATTTATATTTATAATAACTTTGCACGAAAGCATATTTATAATAATTTTGTAATTCTTTGGTTCATTTCTTTTTTGGGGGTGGGAGCAGTTTACTCCCAAGTGATCCTCAGGAGACCTGGGGTCCCCTCCTGGTGGTTCTTGGCCATCCTGGCTGGTGGTTCACCAAGATCTGATGCTGCTCCAGCCCAGTGGTGATGGGGATACCCAGACCACTGGAGCATGACCTAGGGCCTTGAGGCTGCACCTGGCGATGCTCAAAGGACCAAGTAGTGCCAGGGATCACACTGGGTCTGACGACATACAAAGTGTGTCCCCTCACCTCCGTGCTATCTCTTCCTGGGTCCTCCTTATTAATCTCTTGCTCACCTTTCCCTGGTGTGTGAGCCCTGGGTCATCAAGGTTCCTGTCTGCCCAGTGGTTCTATCTGTGGGGTTTCATGCAAAGCAGATGTACAATAGATGCTCCCGAAGAAATGAGAAAACAATGGGTAGGCCTGAGGGGTAGTACAGCGGGTAGGGCACTATCTTGCACAAGACTAATTAGGGTCCAATCCCCAGAACCCGCTATGGTTCTCTGGGCTCAGACAGGAGTGACCCCTCAGCACTATCCAGTGTGGCCCAGAAAGCAAAAACAAGAAAAAGAACTGAGAAAACAAAACGAATGAGTGCACCTGCATGAGCCCAGCTGTGTGGGCCTTGAGTTAACTGTTTTAACACTTTATCAGTTGAAACAGTCTAGCCATAATTATCCTAATGTACCCTCCTTTCTTAAAAATTATTTATCCCCTTTAAATTAAAGAACTGTGATTTACAATTATTGAAAATTGAGTTTCGGTAAATACCATTTCAACACCTATCTCACCACCCATGACAACTTCCCTCCCCCAGTGTTCCCATATTCCACACCCCCAACCCCCAACCCTACCCCATCCCCACCTGTCAACCTGACAGGCATATTACAAAGTTTCAGTGGTTGTGCCTTAGATCTCAAGGTTTCAGTGTTGTTGACTCTGTGTTTGGGGTTTATGGCTACATCACTCACCCCCTTACCAGTATAATGGAAGCCCTAGTTGCATGTTCCCCCATTATTTCCAGTTCCCTTGTCTCCCCCTTGATTTCTTTTTTTTTTAATTTTGTTTTTTGGGTCACACCCAGCGATGCACAGGGGTTGCTCTTGGTTCATGCACTCAGGAATTACTCCTGGCCGTGCTCGGGGGACCATATGGGATTCTGGGAATCAAACCCGGGTCAGGCCATGTGCAAAGCAAATGCCCTACTTGCTGCGCTATCACTCCAGCCCCTCGCCCCTTGATTTCTTTCCTCCTCCATCTTTTTCTCTAAACTTTGGAGTCAAGGGTGATCCAGGCACCCCTGTTTTACATTTCCTTATCCAGGATTCTTGTGTGCTTGTCTTTCTCCTGGCTTACCTCACACAACAAGATATATTCCAGTTCCAACCACAGTGAGTGTGCTCTCCTTTAATCCTCAGCACTGGGGGAAGGATGAGTCCCTCCACGCTCCCAGAGGCTCTGCTCCTCTGCCCCCCTCACTTTCTGGATGTTTCTAAGAACTGGTCTTAAAAATTTTTTTTGGGGGGTCACACCCGGCGATGCACAGGGGATACTCCTGGATCTGCACTCAGGAATTACTCCTGGCGGTGCTCAGGGACCATATGGGATGCTGGGAACGAACCCGGGTTGGCCATGTGCAAGACAAATGCCCTACCCACTGTGCTATCGCTTCAGTCCCTAAGAACTGGTCTAAAGGGGGCCTAGGCTCTAGGAGCTCTGGGTCCATTCAGCCCACAGTTGGTGGCAGGTGACTGCAATGTCCTTGATAGTCCTCTGAGGTTTGAATGATGTAGAGAAGAAAAGCAAGCACAGATAGGTGCAGGAACTGAGAGGCACAGACAGTGAGGGCTGAGGCCCAAAGGCTGCTCTGTCTGATGTCCCTTTCCAGGATTTTAGCTCCTGGGACTCCTTGGCTGGGGACCAATTTCTCTATACAATCCAGCTGGCAGCTGTTCACCTCAGCTGTTTTAGGAGTCTCCCTGTGCTTCTCTGCTGGGATCAGCCTCTCTAGCTGTTCTCTGTTATCCTCAGGAAATGAAGTCCCCGGCTTGGAACCAGATCCTGGGATTTACAGACCAGCAGAGGGGATATTGGGTGGGCATCCTGAAACCACCTGTATTTTTGGAGAGGTGGGTGTGGCTCCTCAGTAGTGCTGGGGGCTGTTTGGGTCACCTTGGCCAGGGTCACTGGAAACATAGCTGCCAGTGCTAGGTAGAAGAGCATGTGATGTCAAGGATCAAACTGGGGGCCTCATGCATGCAAGACATTAGCCCTTTGAGTTACCTTCTTGGTCCACCTGGCCCCATATTTTATTTATTTATTTATTATGTTTTTTGGGGCACACCCAGTGGTGCTCAGCGTTTACTCCTGGCTCTGCACACAAGCATTACTCCTGGCAAGATTGGGGGGACCATATGGCTTGCATGTGAAGCAAACAATCTACCCATTGTCCTATTCAGTTCACTGGACCCACCTTTTATAGCTGTGTGTCTTTGGCACATTTCCAAGTCTCTGTGCCTCAGTGGCTAAATCTCTAGAATGGGGTTTCCTATGTGTCTCCTGAAAAGGATCTTTCATTTCAAGAGAGAGAGCTTGTATATAGAACTCAGGCCAGGCTGGGGGCCTACTCCTATTGCTGTGGAGAAGAGGCACTAGATGCCAGTCACCCCTGAGGGGCCCGTGGAGTTTGGATAAGAGAAGCGAGTGGGGCAGAGGAGAGCCTGCCTGTGTGGACATCACAGTTGAGCCTGACACCAATACAGCTCCTGGATCCTGAGTGACAGAGCAGAGCCCGGTCTGAACCCTGAACTGGCTGGCAGGCAGGCAGGTCAGCCTCTGGGACCACCTGAGTCTAGCGTCTCCCCACACCCTTCTCTGCCCAGCGGTCCCCAGGGCCTGGCCCTCGCAGACCCCTGTACACCTGTGTTTGCCAGGGAGGGTTTCTTGAGTGGTCTGCAAAGTGCAATTTTGGGGCTAGAACCACTGGTGTGCCCTGGGAGTTGGTTAGAAATGCAAATTATGGGCCCAGGATAGCGCGGCAGAGGGACAATAAGCCTTGCAAGGGTAGGGCTGTGAGCACCCTCAGCCTATTTAAGAAGCCCTGGAAAACTTTTCTCTAACCTTTCCTCGAATTTGCGTGTCATCCTTGCGCAGGGGCCATGCTAATCTTCTCTGTATCGTTCCAATTTTAGTATATGTGCTGCCGAAGCGACCCGAGTTTGATTCCTCCGCCCCTCTCGGAGAGCCCGGCAAGCTAGCGAGAGTATTTGATATGCCAGACACAGTAACAACAAAGTCTCCAATGGAGACGTTACTGGGCCCGCTCGAGCAAATCGATGATCAACGGGAGGGCCTTTACCTTTTACCTTTTAACCTTTCCTCAAGCTGCTTATGATCTCAAGGAATGCCTTCCTACAGCCCTCTCACCACTTCTTCCCTGAGTTTCTTACTTCATTTATGTCTTTCCAGTAGGTTCCATAAGTAGGGGGGTCATTTCTGTCTTGCTTATAGCTCTAGTCCAGTGCTTGGCTTAGAACTGGGCACGTAGCAGACTGTGCAACAAATATTTGTCGGTTAATCCAAGAGATAAATATGGAGTTCCTTTTAATTTCCATAGTTTTGGGTTTTGGGTCACACCCAATAATACTCAGGGCTTACTCCCTGCTCTGTGCTCAGAAATCACTCCTGGTGGGCTCAGGGTCCCATATGGGGTACCAGGGATTGAACCCAGGTCAGCTGTATGTAAGACCCACTGAACTATCTGTCCCTTGAGCATAAAGCTATACATCTTTTGACCTTTAAATTTAATTACAAACCATCTTAAAGTACTAGTTACTTAAAAATTGGGGGGACCACACTCAGTGGTTCTCAGGAGCTAGTCCCAGATCTCTGATCGGAGGTCACTCCTTATGATGGCTAGGGGACCATGAGGTGCCAGTGCTTAAACCCAGTTCTCCTGAATGTAAAGCATGTGCTCTAACCAGTTAAACGATGTCTTTAATCAACTATTACTTCTAAAATAAGCATGTTATTTAAAAGGCAAAATAGCAAAATGGATAAGGATATGCATGAGTCAATATAGGGGTTAAGGGACTTGTTTTGCATGTGACTGGTTCGATTCTTGGCACTGTGTATGGTCCCCTAAGCATTGACCCTCGAGCACAGGTAGAACCAGGAATATCCAGGTATCGTATGCTGGATATTCTCCTCTCAAAGAATATATTTGAATTTCTTTTATGAGATCGGGCGCGTTCAGGGTGGTATGCGGTAGGGCGTTTGCCTTGCATGCAGCCAACATGGCCGACCCGAGTTCGATTCCTCCGCCCCTCTCGGAGAGCCCGGCAAGCTACCGAGAGTATCTCGCCCGCACGCACGGCAGAGCCTGGCAAGCTCCCCGTGACGTATTCGATATGCCAAACACAGTAACAACAAAATCTCCAATGGAGACGTTACTGGGCCCGCTCGAGCAAATCGATGAACGACGGGAGGACGGTGACGGTGACAGTCTTTTAGGAAGCTCTAGATGCTAGATATGACTGGAGTTCTTTTGTTTGTCCAAACTCCAATAAAAATTTATGTTCAGAATTTCTCACATACCCTGTTTTCCCACATATGAGAGTTTTCTACCCAGGATTTGAATTTTTTTTTCTTTTTTTTATTTGTGAAAAACCATGAGGTACAGTTATAGGCTTACAAATTTTGTGCTTGGGTTTCAGTTATACAATGATCAAGTCCCCATACCTCCACCAGTGCCCGTCATCCATCCCCATGGGTCCCAGCATCCTCCCACCCTCATCCCCCCCCCCACC